AAACCTGCATGTCGGTGCAGATGTCTCATATAGCCTAGCAACTCGGGAGGAATGCGCACTGGACCATTAACACACCACCAAATTCCTCTCTCCAGGGTAAACACACAGAACCTATTACATACATGAACTGCTACTCCGTTGCTACTCAACAGACAAGACTATCCAGGAACTGTAGGAACAGCAATGTAATACACCCATGAGAAAACACAGGTGGGGCAACAAGCGAAAGCATATTACTAAGGACGTGGAACAACCACATACTATTTTTCATTAGATTTTGCTGTTTAAAATTTCTCTCATTTCTCTGCTGGTCCGCCATAGACCTACATATAATACTGAAACTCCAAGAGGAAGGAGCTTGCATTATTGTATTCCTCGTCACTGGAAAAATGGAGGCAACACAGGGAAGCTCTAACTACATACAGTGGAACCCCTCTAATCTGGACACCAATGGGAGAGAAGAAAGTCTCCACGCATAGTGTGGTGCCATATTTCAGGGGTTAAATTGCACCAAAGAACTGTTGGTGTCCTTGTCAAGGATGACTTGGAGAGGGGTTCCACTGTATACATGAGGCTATGTGAGGAAGATCAACAGCAATTCCTGAGAGATGGACATCATTACTTACTGCTGAACAGGAAGAGAACAGCGTGCGTGATCAGCGGGGTACATTCAAATGAATTGACGGAACCACATATAAAGTAACAATAACCATTCACAGAGTAGAGTTCTGTCAATCATGTGCAAGGTGTGCAACTGTACACATACAGTACAGTATACCTGACAAACTCTGTGACTTTAGGCATCTGAATTTCAAAGTCCTTCCCTCCTATTTCCTGACAGTGTAGTGCCACTAGGTCAGGATCTGCCTGAGATATCACCTACACGTATAAACAGAACTTGAATGATCTGTTCAAAAATATGTGGCCAAGAAGAACAACATGTTACATTACAAGCTGAGTTGGAGGGGGGGATAACACGCTGAACGAGGCAAACACATGCCAACTAGTAGGTAGGTAGGTAGGGGGGGTAGGCGGACCCCAACTCTTAGCAGCAAAACACACTGTTTGTGTATATGCATTCTGACATGACAAGAGTATATATATATACACAGTTTGTACTCAGACAAACAGCACTTGCTTTCAGTGCTGCCACGGGACAAACATCGGAACTACACACGCACAACACAACATCTAACGCTGTATATGCATAAACGCCAAAAATTCCCCGAGTCTGGTTGAGAGATTCTGCACGTCACTAACTCGCAACAAAAAAACTAGGTGAAATTCCCCGACCTCCATTGATTAGCATCATTAGTGGAAATCCTCAGATACAAAGAGAAATGTCGCTAACAAACTGGGGGGGCCAGCTTTGCCGTAAGCCAGAAAAACAATGGGGCAGTACTGAGGAGCACCGCTGGACAGAGAGGGCCATAGATGGGGGAAGGTGAGAGGGGGAGGGGGGAGCGAGGGGAGGGAAAATGAGAGATAAAGGCAGCTGCTGTCGATAAATGTAGATTAAAGCGTAGGTTAGAGTGAGGGGAGTAGTCGGGTACAAGATCCAGTGGCCTAGTGCCAATTTTAATTGTACAACAAATATCACACATCTCCAGACTATACGCGACACTGAACGTTATAGTCTTGAAGTCGGTCTCACCCAATAGTCTCACCCAATAGTGTAGTGGAAAACGCTTGGGGGAGAAACTTATGCATTTCGGTAGCAAACACGAATTCCCATGGATTGCTGGTCCCTCGCTTGTATGTACGCTGCCACCTACACATTTTGGCTACAAAAACCTTCGCAGGGTCCATACACTGAAAAATTGCAAACAAGTTTTTCCCTGTGCAATTTTCCCGGTCTGTGGTACGACAATGAAATGGCACGGGGGCGACTCAATGAGTTGCTTACCTTTTCAAACTCTGCCAGCCAGTTCTCCTCCACTCTCTCCTGAGGAGGGGGAGGGGGGAAGGGAAGGGAGGGAAAGGAGAGGAATGATACAAGGAAGTGAGGGGAGAGAAGAAGGAAAAGTCACAGAGCCGGAGAATAGCTCCTCTATTCAGGTAAAGAGAAAAAAACAACGCAGTTTGCCCTGTGAGGCCGGGGCCAATTCTAGTCTCCATGGAATATGATTTGCATGTTGGCAACATGAGAGTCACCAGGTAGAGCTAGGGCCTGGAGCTGGCACTTGAAACGCGGCAAAAACCACAAGCTCTGAGGCTCAGCCAAGCTCTCTGTCTCCCCTCCACTGTGGCCCACCAGGAGCTCAAAAGGAAAACAAATCTCTCAGAACCCAAACCACAGGGCATACATTTGTTACAAAGTCCAGAAATTGGTTGCTACAGGTAAAGGCTCCTAGACAAGGCTTGAGGTTACGTGCCCCACTCGTCCAGGTCCTCCCCAGTCCTCACGTTCTCGAAAAGGGTGCCCATGTTGGCCGTGACGATAAACAGCCGGTTCAAAGCGTACTGGAGTGCCATTCTCTCTCACTGCCCCGCGTCCGGTGTCCCTGCACGCACGCGACTCGCCGAGGTCCGCCGAAACGAGTGTCTTTCGAGCTCTCGAACTCCCGGTCTGCGACTCCTCAGCTCGAGACCTGCTTTATCTCTCCTTCTCAGCGAGGCTTCAAATCCATGCCATGATGCAGACGAGCATTTGTATACCTCACATCCGGCGGTCGGGATTTTCTGGGGGGCAGCGCGTTATTTAGAAAATATACGCGGCGCGCGCGGGTGGGTTGGGAAAAACGCGCGCGCGCTGACTTCTCTATGCGCGCGCATACGCAACACTTCACGCTGCAAAAAGCATCGCCTTCTCTTTCGCTCTTCGGCCTATATACGAGGTAAATAAAGCCTAGCTTCTACTTTCCTCTGTAATTTATGTAGTGCAGGGTTATGATGATCCGCTGGTGACAATAGACTACACGTAGCTATAATAATACAGTCCAACAAGCTTGGAAGGCGGTATGTTGCGAACGGCATTTGCGACGAGGAGGCGAGCGTTCCGGACTATAACTGGCAACGCTACCTCGGCGAACCCCCCATCGCAGATCAACCCAAAAAACGGCGACATAATGTCTTTGCGTACTTTGTAAGGCATGACTGTATTGAGAGCAGTGCCCAACCAATGTCGCCACGACTAGATGGGCTAATTTTGCTAGTCAGTTTTGTCAACTCTATTCTCAGATAACCCACCTCCCAACCCAACCATCACCCTAAATGCTGCGACAGAGGAGCTCAAGACCATGGCTCTAACATGCTGCTCGGTCGGAGTCCCGCCACCCGAGTACATGTGGAACAAGAGGAACATGATCACATTTGCCATTCAGTGAGCCACTGAACAATGTGGTCGGCATCTTCTCCTCGACGCTCTATGTTCCCATTACAGGAGTCTCTGATAGCATTGTTTACATTTGTACAGCAATCAACTCGGCTGGAACGTCATTCACTTGTGGATCTAAGCCCAAAAAGCAATTGTTACTGCAACCTTCGCTGCTCATGTGTGCAGTGATACTGTTAGGCTATATACAACAACTCTAACAAACTCAGCATGGATCGAGCTCGATTTTTTGCTTACCGTGGCAAAGTTTGTCTCTTCTGTTACTCCTGCATTCAGTTAATTAGTACTTGCAAAATTTACTCTGCGTCAGAATTCACATAAATGCACCGCATTGCATCAGAATTCACATAATGCACTGCATCACTACAGGTCCACCTTACTCCCTAACAGTATCGTCAAGTCCAGTCTCAGCACCAGCAGCAGAAGGAGTTCCGGAGAAGTCGGTGCTAACATGGAAGAAGAGGCTAGGTCTTGTGATGGGGTGTGGGAATGGCGAGGGAGGAGGAGGGGTTTTAGAGCTTCCCCGGTGGTTAAAGTGACCATTGAGGAGTGAGGTAGCCTCTGATGCATATATTATACCCATATGTAGGTTTCAGATGCTCACTGTGCATGTGGTGTTTGAGTGGGTCGTAGAATGCCATCTCTTATCTGCAGGACATGGGAGAGCTGGAGCCCGTCCAGTTTATCCTGGCACTGCAGTGCAAACAAACCGGTGCATGCACAGTAATGTTCTACAGTATGTCATGCATGTGATGATGTTGATAGTTGGCGGTTGGTTCCAAGCTGGCTGGCTATGTACCCAATTGCGTATCCTGATAGGCTTCGTGGGTAATCGAGTGGCTAAAGCTATTAAAAAGCAATAAACATTTTACTTACATGCTCGTTTGGGCACTGGGTTGGTTATGTAGGAGAAGTGCTGATATTATTATCCATGACAGCAATTACTTGCATGATTGGTTGATTAGCATGCAGCGTATTTGATTTTTGTTCGTCTTTGGTGTAATGTTACACTTCGTGAGAATTTGCGTAATTGAGTGCCGACAAATTCAATATGGTAAACAATCCATGAGAGATTGTCACAAACTCTCCAACAGTGATTGTCTGTCAAGGTTCAGTGGAACACTTCTCGGTACAAATGCTTGCACAAATCGTTTCGCCGTCAACATAGGCCACACTCCTTATTATGAGAATTAAAACAGCACAAAAATGGTCAACCCCACTCCACATGGACATACTCTCAACACAAGTGAAGTATCAATGGCACCCTGCAGGGGAGATTTTGTTTTGTTATTGGGTGAAAGCAATCAAGATGTCAGTGGCATGCCACAACCAAGTAAATGGAAATAAAATCTGGCAACACTCTGTTCTGCTATTGTGATATATATAGCCCATCAATTGGTTATACACACAACATGCCAACATGATGTGTATACTCAGAAGAGCAGAGGTATAGTTCACAAATTTCTGACGTTACACTGTCAATCAGGTAGCAATGATACGCGTCACTTGCAGTGGAGTGGCTGTTGCCACACAGACGAGATACTGATGAATTGTTGGTTATGACACGGTCGATAGTTTGATTACTTTTGAGGAGATTAGAGTTGTAATCATGGTTTATGAGCCGTGTCGAAGCAAATACTGTATATATAGTACTTGGGCTGTTCCCCATGTATGCCCCCAGATACCAGCATGATATTTAGTGCAACGACCCGTGAACCCTCTATAAAATACTACAGATTATAACCACTGTGTGCATATTTCCCAGAACCGCAACCAGGTTCATAGCTGCTTTGTGTAGCCCTTGCTTTGAGTCAGTCGCACACTCTGGAGTGGATAGCTACATGGAAGGAGCGAGGCGGACCCTGTCGTTCTCCATCATCAAAATCCTAGGGACGGAGAAAGCTGTGTGCAGTAGTGAAGAGTTTTCCTCTCCCTGTACTGCCACCAACACCAGTGGCATTCCAGTGGATGATAGGGGCCCTTCAGACTGCCCCTCGTGTAATGAGCTGGAGCTAGACAGCAGAGGGGAGCCAGGTAACATATAACCTAGCTAGAGAGCCTGGGAACTATAGTATGCTATTTTTACCACCTAAACTCATAGCTATTATGTTCCACCATGCCCTTATTAGCTGTCCTTTTGTCTCTTTCTTTCACAGAGCAGGATAGGGGAGCAAAAGAAGAGGATGATGATGAAGAAGAAGAAAGCAACAGAGTAGGATCAAAACTGTACCCAGGGAACAATCCAAACGTGAAGAGACAGGGACGGATGCGATTCACACCGGCCCAAATCCAGGTGCTGGAGAGAAAGTTCCAGAAGCAGCACTACTTGCTTCCCGCCGACCGCAAGTTCCTGGCCAAGTCCCTGCAGATGACGGAGAGACAGGTGAAGACTTGGTTCCAGAACAAGAGAGCCCAGTACAAGCGGACACGCCCCCTAGTGAGGAACCCCGTTTACCACCACCCGGGTTTTCCTGGTACCACACCACTGCCCGTCACCGCCTTACCACGACTGCAGGTCTTGCAGGCCGGACCGCTAGGCATCAATATTCACTTCCCAGTCACCCCGAGTGGTGCTCTAGGATGCAACTCGACACTGCTGCCACCACCTCATCTCGGACTCGCCACCTTCAACCCCACTCCCATACCTCCTCTTCCACCACATCTCCCCATGCCAATGGCGTACATCCCAGTCCCCCTCACTCCAGCCGAGTAACCCTTTTAATTTCTTTTTGTATATCAGAACCCAGAAGGAAAAATTCATTTTTATGTCCAGGTGGATGCTACCACTGGTGGTTGCAAACATACACCAGTTAGAGCGCAGTTTGCACCAAAAAAGTAAATAACCAGGCTCTCTCTCGCTCTCAAGTGTGCCCCAGTCGATCATTCCGCGATGACTACGCACGTATTATACGCGTACGCGCGCGCAAGCTGCGTGCGTGCGTGGATGATGTCCGGCTTCCCCCTCCAGAGAGCCCTTACATCTGAACAAGCCGTTTAGAGTTGACTCGTTTGGAGGGTGAAGGAGAAGAACGCAACATGAAGACCAATCAAGCGGAGCCCCAGGACAGGAGGGAGAAAAGGAGCGGGCCCAGCTCTCACTGGACGCTCATGGTCCTGTTTGCGTCTCTCCTGCTAGACCTGCTGGGTTTCACCGTCATTCTCCCTCTCATCCCCTCTCTCCTCGAGTACTACGGCCGCGCAGACCAGGTCAGGGGGCGACTCCTGGCCTGCATCATTGCTAGCCACTGCCGGAGCTTTAGTAGCCAGCTGATCGGAAGCCTGCATGCATGACAACTTTTCTTTTTCTCTCTTCCAGAGCGGCATGTATTCTGTGCTCATGGAGAAGGTAGACAGTTTCAGGACTCTAATAGGAGCTCCTGACGTCGAGAAATTCAATATTGTCCTGCTGGGAGGTAATACATAGCACTGTAGGTACATTGGATAGCTGTAATAGCGTTGTACTGTGGATAGCTGTAGTGCAGAAGGATAGACACTATACTTGTGTTACTCCATGCACTAGACTGTTGCTTTATCTGTGAAATATTATGCACAAATTCGCTCTTCGGTAACTTTCTATGCACTCTTGTAGTGTGTATGTATCAGTGACAATTGACCTAGAACAAAGAACACCCTGGTGTACTTTAGATACATACACCCCCCAACATCAACCTGCATATAATTCCTTGCATTTGACATTCGGTCCCCAGAGACTTGCCGGATCAATGCCACGGTGTGTATGTGTGGTCGTATATCGCTGCAGGTCTTTTAGGATCTCTCTTCTCCTTTCTGCAATTCCTCACCTCACCTCTCCTTGGTGCCTCATCCGACATTTACGGCCGCAAGAGGGTCCTCATTCTCTGCATGGTGAGAAATGCACAGGGAGTACAGAGGTAGACATTAGGGGGAAGAAGGAAATGGACACTGAGGTGGATGACTGACTCTACTTCCTGGTCTCCACCACACTCTTTCCTGACCAGCAGGGTTGTTTGCAAACTTACTACAATCACAGAGTATGCAAGGTCACCTTTTCTGTAAAACACTACCATCTTCTCTATCTCCACATCTCTCTCCTTCTCCCTCCTCTCACTTCACCCTAATCACTTGCTCTTCTTCACTCTCTCGCCCTCTCTATCTCTTTATTTTGTCTATACACAGGTGGGAATTTCAATGAGCTATGCGTTGTGGGCCGTCTCTCGCAGTTTCCCCCTGTTTGTCCTGGCCAGAATCGTGGCTGGCTTCTCCAAGGGAAACATTGGGATCAGCACGGCAGTGGTGGTCGATGTGACGCCTGTGGACAAGAGAAACAGAGGCATGGTGAGCCTTCTTCAGATTTGTGAGGACAGACGGACAATCCACTACCACATAGTTATATAGTTATTGCAGACCTTTTGCCGATTGTCCATTCTGCAGTGAATCATCAACTCTGCAGTATACAATTTTCACAGATAGCGAGTTCATTCAAGGCTCCTTTTCGTAATCTTGACTTATACTCAAGGACCATCACGTCTGTTTTACGGTAGCGCTCACGTTATAGCAAATACTCACCCCCTCCCCAGGCAGTGATAGGCATTGCCTTCTCCTGCGGGTTCCTCCTCGGTCCCCTCATTGGCGCCGGGTTCTCCGTCTGGGGCAAGAGGGTGGCAGAAGCCGGCGGGGACCCATTCACCGTGTTCCAGTACCCGGCCCTGTTTGCCCTCACTCTCTCTCTCCTGGCCATCCTCCTCCTCCTCTCTGCCTTCCCGGAGACCCTGCCCCCCGAGAAGAGGGCACGCTCGCTGGGCCAGGGAGTTCTCGGGACGCTCTACCTCATCAACCCTCTCTCCCTCTTCCGTTTCGACGCCATCTCCAGACTAGACGAAAAAGGTTGGTATGCTGTACAAAACGCAGGACACTAGAATGTTTGCGTACAAAGATTTTGGAGGGAAGTATGATGCATGTTGCAGTTTTCCCCCAATTTTTGCAAAGGCTCTACAACAACATAGTGCCAAACTCCGAGAGATAAAACTTTCGAAGTTTCCTTAAATTTGCAGAGAAACTTGACTGTCCCACAATAGAGTTTCCTTTTTTCACGAAGGCTTTTAAACAGCAAAATTTACTAAGTTGTCCCATCAAAGTCTCCTACATATATAGCTATATAGTATGGTGACTCTTTCGTTGATCCCATGATACACACACACATACATATCCAGATGTAAAGAGTCTGCGAAGACTAGGGCTGGGCTATTTCCTCTACCTCTTCCTGTTCTCTGGTCTGGAGTACTCCCTCACCTTCCTCACACACCAGAGATTCAACTACACCAGGTGAAAACATGTCCCCTCTCCCCTTACTTGTCTTTCTAAGTGCTCTCTCTATTCCTCCCTCCCACCCTTTTCCAACTCCTCTCCTCCCCCCTTTCTATTCCTCTATCTCCCTCCCCTTTTTTTCCTATTGCCCCCTATATATATACTCCTCTAATCTCACCGTCACCCTCATAACCTCGTGTGTCTTCCATTATCTCTACCAGGATGGACCAGGGGAAAATGTTCCTATTCATAGGATTGGTCATGATCCTAGTACAAGGTATGTGTATGTCAGATGACACACCATGACATCATAGTATCGTGGACCTTCTTGCAATACCTAACCTCCGTGCTATTTCAAATAAAGGACACCTCTTAGTCTGTCTCAATGGCTAATGGTCCAAGTGTGTCCTTATTTGGAGGTTATACTGTTGAACCCCCTCAGCCCTGCATTGAGGGCTCCTCACTAATCACTTTTAACATTATTTGCTTGCTTGAACCCCTGAACTAACGGCATCTCACGGGCACTTTCTTCTTCTGTCCCAACGGTGCCCAGATCAGCCTGTTATTCCATTGCTCCGATTATGTATGTTTCCCTTTATTCAGGTGGTTACGTGCGCACTAGACTGCACGGCTGTGAAAAGAAGACTGCACTACAAGTCAGTGAGCATTGGAGCAAAGTATCACATAGCTACATTATGCACACAGATCCTGCTTGTACAATGTTTGTCTACCCACCGAGGTTGTCACTAGACAGTATATAGTCTTAACTACATTCTGTGTCCTGTATGTTATACATTATGTACACATCTAGTGAATGGTGCAGCATGGCTTTGTCCTATATTGTGTACTTTTTTTGGAGAGACTTGGCAAAACAGTGTGTGGGTTCCCTGGTCTTTTACCTAATACCCACTCATAAGCAGCTCCTATTCTTCCTATACCTATAGTAGGCCTATTGCATCTTTCAACATTGCATGCGTTAACCTCTGCAAAAAGTCCAAGGTTCCTGAACAGCTGAACATTCATACCTTCTCGGTTCCAAGGAACAGCATGTGCTCACAGAAGTGGGCAAGACCAGGGATCTCTTAAGTCTCCTTATGTGTGGTATATATAGCTCTGTGTTGATTATCTGTACAGGGAATGCTGGTCATTATCCCAAGCCTCCTGTTGGTCGGCTGGGCCTCCACACCACTCATGCTCTACTCTGGACTCTTTCTTTACTCCTTTGGTGAATATACACACACACATACCCAAGTTTTTAAGACTGAAAGATAGGCCACTTATAAGCATGAAATGTCAGCTGTAGCTAAACTGTTTGAAACCACTTGTGAACACATTAGGAACCCTAACACCAACACTGGTAGTATTGTGTTGCAAAATCTTGCAGTGTGCAAAATTGCACAAAGATCAGCGCTATAGAGGTATCTAGTTTTCAGTAAAGTATACTGGTTTTTTCTCTTTACCACAGCTGCTGGCTCAGTGGTGACTTGTCTGAGCAGCATTGCCTCCCAGTTTGGTAAACACACCCTCTACCCTTTGGAGCTGATTAATTATTATGATGTCATTATTGCAGGGGAGGGGGACGAGAAGGGGAAGGTTATGGGGATATTTCGCTCCCTTGGAGCACTGGCCAGAGCAGTGGGACCGATCACAGCTTGCACCGGTAACAGAAAATACCCATCCAGTGTTTAATATACCCCTATCGTTACCCACTCTAATTGCCTCAACGATCTGTATGCAGTGTTTTGGAGCTGGGGGGCGTGTGTGCTGTACATGGTGGGGGCGGTGCTGATGCTGGTGCCCCTGGCAATTATCTCTCTCGCCAGACCTCATCCAGCTGCTGCCAAGAAAGACTGATGAACGTCGTCCAGTGCAGTAGACGGACACAATCAATCCTGCTGTTATACATGTTTTTTAGGGTGTTCAGCTTCCGGTGTTCGTCTGCGCGTGCGCGTTAACAAACCAGAAGGATCTAGGAGGGGGGCGTGGTAATTTTTACACACACAATGCACTATGCAGTGTGTGCAGGCTAGGTACTAGAAGTCACGAGTTCTTTGGAGCAAGCGGTATAAACCCAGGTGGCTATGCCGAGCGGGAGAGTCGTGTCCTACCTGAGGGGGCAGTTTCGCCTCCAGAAGCTGTTGTTTGCGCACAAAGACTGGAAAATCATTGTTTTCTCGCCAGTAAGTGGATAGCCGGTAGTCGTGAGTGCGTAACATCATTACCGAAGTATCATGAATCAATCAGTCACTTATATACAAAGAGACAACCAAAAGGGAGATTCTAGCGTGGAAAATATGTGTGATTAGTAAGTAAAACAGGGGTCACTCTAAATCAACTGCTGTATATATACTTACTGATTTCCAGTGGTTGCCTCCTGCCTGGACGTTTCAGTGGCTTTACCTCCTCTACCGCTGGATCCTTGTCCCTCTACTTTGGCGGCTGGCTCATCTACTACGCCATCGAGCCGGGACCGGCAAAGGGAGACAAGTTCGTGATCTACCTCACCAAACTGGGGCTTTCTGTTCTGGGTCGCCTACCTCATCTCGGCAGCCGTGGCGGTCACGGTGAACTTCATCCGGGCGTGGGCCTGCAACCACGTCCTCTATTTCCCGAGGAGGGACTCGCCCACCCGGCAGCTCATGGCTGAGAGAGATGAAGACGAGGAAAGAGACACCACAGCCAATTGCTACCGCAAGACCCCCGACTCCACCAACTTCTGCGACAAGATCACCTGGTGTCTCTTCCTGGTGGGTGCCGAGGCAGCCGTTCTCATAGCACTACTGTTCTGGACCACGCTCTACAACACACCGGGTGCTGCCACTCCACTCTCGGTACACCTCCACCTTGTCAATGCCGTCGTGGCCATACTGGATCTGTGGGTATCCGGAGTGCCCCATATTCCTCCTCCAGTTCATCTACATTCAAATCTTTGGGGCCACCTACGTCAGCTTCACGGGGATGTATTATGCGTTTGGAAACATGTCGGCCATCTATCCAGTGCTGGATTACGAGGCGAACCCTGGCTTGGCGGCCGGTCTGGCTGTGGGGACGGCTGTGTTCGGTACGGTGATCGTCCACCTCATCTTCCTGGCCCAGTACCTCTGTCGGAGGTACGCCACGTCCCGTCTCTTGCTCAAGTACAAGAAGACAGCGATTGGCAGCTCTTCATCCTCAGATACTACTACACCTATACTGTACAATAAGAAGAGCAAGCAACACTCTACTACCAGCAGCCGAGAATCCTTTTTCTAGTGTACCGTTTTCATTTATGTATAATAATAATTTTATGTGTTTGTGTAGTACAGTGTTCTTATCTGTTCTGTTTGTGTAAGTAGCCTACGTATAACATGTACGTATAACATTTACCTACACTGAAAGCTTTTGGCCTCCAGGGTACACAACCCATTTAGCTGCGAGTTTTGGGGATAAACGGTGTAGCAGCACTTTTCGCCGTGTTTGGTTTGCTTGGCATTGTCCGTGTTGTGGTCATGGGGATTTGACGCATGTCGCCAGGTTCTCCTCCTGCTGAACGACTCCGCCTGATTCCATTGCACTGACTATCCTGTATCTCCTGAGCGAAGAGGCCAACGGTGACGGGAATGACTGGGAAGGCAGTTCGCCGCTACTTTTCGTCCGAGTTCCGTTGTTCCCACTTCTGGTTCGTGCACGAAGACTGGCGATCTTTCGCCTACTCTCCGGTACGTTCTCCACTTCATGCCTGCCGTATGCATGCGTAATGTAACTTACATGAAAACGCATGCTCTTTGATGCAGTGGATGCCGTACTGGTGGCGAGTACAGTGGATCTACCTTGCCTACCGCTGCACCCTCTCCTTCTACTTTCTGGTGTGGCTGGCCTACAGCATCTACAGCTCTTGGTTTCATGGAAAACTCGAGCAGCATTTCTCCTTCCTTGCCAACTGGAGCTTTCTCCTCTGGAACGCTTATCTCTTTATCTCAGCAATCAACGTCTCTGTCAATCAGTTGCGTCAGTACTGCTCACAGAAAAAGAGCTGCGAGGATCGTCAGTTGAGCAAGAGGTCCTGCAGGAGGATTTGCTGCACATGTGGGAAAGACAGGAGCACTCTGTGCGACAAGATCTCCTGGCTGTTCTTTACTGTGAGTACAGAGGTGGCAGTGATAGTCACTCTTCTCTACTGGATGATACTGAGTGGGGGAGATGATGATGACACACGGGGGTCTGCACTAAATCTCCACATCCACCTATTGAATGGCATTACAGCAGTACTGGACCTCTGGGTTACCGGATTTCCAGTCCACATCTTCCACTTTTTGTACACCTTTCTCTACGCGGCGTGCTACATTGCGTTCACTGGAGTGCATTATGCCACCAATACCACTGGCAGCAGCGAAGGAAACGAATATATCTACCCTGTGTTGGACTATGGTTCCAAGCCAAGCCTTGCAGTTGGCGTTGTACTTGGAGTGATGCTAGGACTACTTCCCCTGATCCACATCCTTTTCATTTCTCAGTATCTTGTTCGTGTCTGGATCATCGCACGACTGCACAAGAGGTTTGAGACCTATAGGAAGTTTTTGCCGGTGGTGCAAGAGACAGAGACTGACCTCAATAATGACAATGAGGGGATGAGTGAGGCAGGAACTAGTAGAATGACCTTCTCCACCACAGCTGACAATCACTGTGATGTGTAGACAATGGCACTACAACTCTTACATTATCAGAGTATTTTCATGCTACATGAATAGTCGTATATACCTTACTACGGAAAATGCCAGTCGGCCGATTGCAAGCGCGGGTACGCATGCGCACTCGAAACACGGGTACGCATGCGCACTCGAAACACGGGTACGCATGCGGATAGGTATTGGGCGGATCGCAGAGTGGATCTAGTCGACGTCTTTTTCGGCGCTCTCCACCCAAGCTACAGTATTGTTCGCCCGATTATGTCACGGGAAAGGTTCATCCAGTACCTCAGGAACGAGTTTCGCTGCCGCAGGCTCTGGTTTTTCCACTGGGACTGGAAGGCATTCACACACAGTCCCGTACGTAAGCCCCTCAGTAGCCTCTCTTTATATATACTGGCTGTATAATTATACTTTCTGCCTCCAGTGGTTGCCACATGCAATTAAGACCCAATGGATCTACCTGCTCTACAGAACAGTCATCGCCTTCTACTTTCTTGTGTGGCTGCTTGCGATAGGCATCAATTTCTCATCACCTAAACTCCTGATATACCTCACACAGTGGTCGTTTCTCGCCCTTAATGCCTATTTCATCTCGGCACTCATCACCACGGTTGTTAACTTTTTCCTTGTCTACGTCTATCCCAAGAGAAGGCGAGTGGAGTCACCACCTGATGCTGAGGAAGACGAGGAAAGCTACGAGCGACACTGCTGCAAGTCATCGACAGACAAAACCACGTTCTGTGATAAGATAACCTGGGCCCTGTTCCTCGTGGGAGCAGAGTCTTCCTTTATGGTGGTGCTGCTCTTCTGGATCCTAATAGGCAGCAGTGACAATGCCCCCGACATTAACCCCTCTGTGAATGCACACGTGCACGCTCTAAACGGTGTCATCGCCCTGGTCGAGGTCTGGATCACTGGAATCCCGGTCCACCTGCTACAGTTTGTGTACCCGGCACTCTTCACCACTACCTACGGAGTGTTTACCGGGGTTTACTATGCTGCAAATGGCACAGACCCGTTTGGAGAGAGTGCCATCTACCCTGTCATACTCGACTATGGCTCCCAGCCAGGAGTAGCAGTGGGCACTCTAGTGGTGAGCACAGTGATCATCCTACTGATCCACCTGTTTTTCCACGCGCAGTACCGACTAAGGCACTGGTTGACCGCTCGCCTCCAGCGCCGTTTCAGACCTTACAGGAGGTACTTTGATCACATAGACATGTCAGAACCCATCCCCGTACTGGATTAGTTGTACATTTTATACGAATGTGAATAATGTTTGCATAGCTTTATAGTCACTCCCACAGCGAATGACAATTTTTGCCATCTGCTGTGTATGGGTATTGGTGTACTGGTATATAGTCATGATGGGCATATGAGAAAACTGATCCATGTAGGCATTACTCCTAGAGTAAACAGACGCACACAACTCAGCACTAGTAATTCGATATGGCACCAAAAGAAAAATCGATTATGAACACCATTAACACCTACCTATGAAACTAATGATACATTCTGGCCATACGGAGCAGTATAGCCCAGTAGGACGTCAAGTAAGACTGTCAGAGTGTTTGCAAATGACTCCACCACTCGATGCACCAACAGCTGTAGACTATCCTCTATGTTTTCAATCTCCTCCTCTCGAGTCGACGCGAAACCTTCGAGATCAACCAGCTGCAGAACCAAGTGCTTCGAGCCCATTCCCGACACAAATGTGGCATTGAATCGAATCGTCTGTCCCACACGGAGATCTCTCATTGCCTCTAAATAAGAGTTTGAAGCGAGGAGAGTCGTAGAGACTCGGTCGTGAGTTGAGGGAAGTGCCAGTCTCAGGTCCACGGCAAATGTGTACTTGTGGCTGTGCTGAAAGTGACAGCCGGTAAATTCCCTTTTGCAAGTCTCCATGTCTAATCGGCGGCCACACATTGGCTTCTGCTGACCGAGAAGGCAGGTTAGAGCTTCTCGGATGATACCGGGCCGAGACTGCAGACCCGCCTCGTAATTGTTGGACACCCCTTGAATCTTCACTCCTTCCACCACACCACTGGCCGTCAACACTCTGTCTCTGAGGTGGACACAGTCGAGCTGCGTCTGAACCGTGTTTCCCCCGCGGCCGGCCCAGTTCTGAAGGCCGCAGTACTCACTGTACTGTGCCGGGGTCACAGCGGGGACGTCTTTCGGAGTATAGTACTGCACCACTTGGTAGGCACCCGCCAGAACAGCAGGTATGGTGATCAGGATCTGTAGCAGCACGAGCGAGTCAAACGAAATGTTGAGCCACTTTGCATCCATCAGTCGCCGCGAAACCTTTCCCAATACCAGCAGAATCACAACAAAGGACACAATGAGGGCGATGTACAGGTAAAACACCCGCGAGAATCCATAGTAAAACAGCACCAACACTGGGGACACTATGAGCATCAACGGTAAAAACGGTGACACGGCCAGGAAGAAAACAACTCCAAAGGTCCCGAGAAAGAGGTAGAAAGGAGAGGAGAGGAGAAAGAAGTGTCTGGTCATCACCCACCAGGACGTGAAGAGGAGGTAAGGCCCGAGACCTGAGTAGATATTGCGCCACTTGTTGCGTACGAGAAAGTAGGCAATGAGTATGCACTGGACGGGAAACTGGACCAGTGTAAAGAGATTCACCTGAAGAGTCAGTCGGGAGACGAGGAGAGGGACTGAGACGGAGGCTGATCCGAAGTACAGCAGAAAGTCAGGGATGGGGAGAACCTCACTGAACACCGTCAGAAAGGCGTAGAGCCACGCGAGGAGCCTCGTACATGAGCAGGCGAGGAAGACAGAAGACTTGTAGCCCTCGAACTGAAGAAACACGGCCAGCGTGCAGAAACCGGAGACGATGCAGAACAACTCATTGGGCACGATACTTCGGTGGGAGAGATAGAACGTGAGGAGAGTGGCGCACAACGACGCTCCGAACGTCACGCAGGGGAGCACCGATCGCCCGACGAGAATCGCTTCCGGCTTCCCAGTGTTGAGTTTTCTGGCCCCCTTGCTGAAGTACTGGAAGATGCTAGAGTACTCCATGAAGGAGGAGACCTTTTCGGCTGCAAGAGCAATCTGAAGGGTCCCCACGCACATGGAAATGAAGGCTGCCAGGAAGGCTACGGTGGCAAGACTGGTGAGGATGAAGTTTGGGCTGATCATTGGTAGGAAATAGGCGAGTGCGAGGAGAGAGAACTGCTTAGTGGGGAAACTGGACCACACCCACTTTATCCCACGACGCTCAATGAGTTTTAGGAGCGAACGCCTGTAGAAGTGGGCAGTTTCGACCGGGTATTTCGTAACCTACACATGACAGAGCATACATGAAGCACCATTGAGACTTACAGTGAGCTAACACTGCAGCCGACCAAAGAATTGACTAGTGTGATACGACAACCTTTAGTAAAAGGTGTGAACATTATCCAAAATTGACGCACATGAGCTTGAGTTCAGCGCATGCACAGTCTTATCCTGTAGTGATTAATTGTACTACTACGTGCCTTCTTGAGAATGTTGGCCTCCTTGAACTCCTGTTGTCTCTGTGGAGAGAGGGCTCCAGCATCGTGTGGTAGGACACCTCTGGCGTATGTGACGGCAGCTTCACAAAACATGTCCCCTGTCACCTAGTATGAACATAGTATGAATATAGTAGGCACCAGCAGATAGTGTCTACATGTATTATTGGCGAGCGAGGAGAGCTACCTAGTTGTTTCAATGTGGGAAATATATATATATATATATATATATATGTTTATAACTATCGGTCGGGTGCTGTACATACCGTAATGTTCTATATACGTGATTCTAAATACGTGCAAAACACGCACGAAACATTGAACTGCTCGCTTGCCAAACACATACTCTACCAGCAAACCAAGCAGGCAAGGACATACCGATAAACCAAGCAAGCAAGGATACACAGTACTAGCAAACGCAGTAAGCAAGGACAGCAATGTACTATACACACCCCTTGCTGTTGGAGACAAGCAAAATAGTCTTTGAACAGGTGTCTCGAAGTTCCTGTAACAGGCTCTGCTATCACAATGTATGTGGGCAAAAGTACGTAATAAGGCTCATTACTATACACGGTCCTGAATCAAAGTTAACAAGTTCACATTGACTTAGACGCTATAATAGTTGTTGTAGTAGTGATCCCCCATATATTATATTACAGAGCCTGATAAACACACACCTCATTAGTGTGATTGGACTCCAGAGCACTGCACAGCATTCTCTTCACGGCCGTCCGCAGACCTTTCGCCGACTTCATCAGCTGCGGCGAGTCCTCGTAGCGGCCGCCGGAGGATAGGAGGTGTGTCACCGCACTGTCCATCTCAGTCTTGGGGATACTCCTCCCTCCGTGGACCATCTCTCTGAACATGTCCTCCGCCACTAGATAGACCTGGAAATAATCTGGTAGATTGATGACTGTACAACTTGTAGAAAAACATAGGCCAGGAAGAAAGGGAAAGGACCATACTCTGTCGGGAATCGAACTCGGGCATTGGGACCTGAAGTCCAGTGTACTCCGCACAAGCTACACCTCCAACTCAAAACCCGCCATTCCCCATTCTCTCTATATAAATGCCAGTGGTTGTTGCTTATATACCTCTCTCTCCTCCCGGGTAGACCCCACCACCCACTGCAGGAGCCGGAGGAGACTCGGGGGGAGGGCCGCGACTGTTGAGGGGGGCAGGGCCGAGGTCGAGTCGAGGAAGGAGACAATCCATCCCGTGGCCTCTTCCTTGTTCACACCCTCCACTGCCGCACGGAGGAAGCAGCGAAGAGTGCGGATGAGGTCAGCTGTGTTTCGAAACCCACTCTTCTCCGCTTGTGCATACAGCTGGAGTGATGTTTACGAAAGATGATGGATCACGTGAGATGAGCATGCAGTAACTTCATTTACCCTGAGACCTTCTTCAACCATAGCAGGGTCAGTGTTCGAGTCTCTATCTGAAGGAGGAGCTGCATCCTCGTCGCCTGCTGCAGCCCCAACACTTTCCACTGTCCTTCTCTTCCTCACTTCCATCGTTCGACAAAAAATTAACGCCCACAAAAATTGTTAGATCACGTGCCCGGTAGAAATTTTACCGGAAACAATATGGCGGCGCATAAAGGGGGAGTTGGCCTGTTCCGTATTCATGTCTGAACCGAGAGGAGAAGGAGCGAGAAGAGATCCGTAGGCATCCTCTAGTGCAGCGAGTGTGGAGCCACGGAAATAGGCGGTTGCAGCCTCGGAAGCGCCATTTTGGCTGGAACTAACTCGGACTCCTTCCAGCAGCCATGGCCGTTCCGTGTAAGGAGCTCTGACTGGCGTCGTTCCCTTTGTGTATGTTGGCGGTATTCCGAGCCGCCGTGTGCCGGCAGCTCCGAAGAAGGCTGCAGAGTGGCACACGGTGGTGCGTTTTGGTGGGTTTGGCTGCTGAAGGGCGCGTTAGACTGCTGTGAGGCAAAATTGAGGCCTTCTGCAAAACCTTTACCGTTCAGAGGGTGATTTCAGCCTCGGTGAGAGAAGCAGGGAGGCTAAAAGCCAGCCTACGGGGCTCTGACGTAGCAACAAATTGCCTTGGGCGATGCTTGAAGGAGGGTAGCACTAATTAGAACTCAGTGTAGCTAAGCGACCAAATTACCGAGTCTAGACGAGCAGCCCGGGAGAGGAGGGTATTTGTGTGTGTTCTCAGGTACTAATTGGGGCCTTTGTGTTTCCCGTGCACCCTAACCTCCCAGCTGAGCCATGTAAACACTGTGTTATGTACACACTGGGATGGTTGGATGTAGGCCTAGGTTTTGGCATACAGTCTATGGTCGTAGTTCAAATTTTCATCTTTGTCTTGCCTGTGCAGCAGCAGAGAGTCCGAGCTCAGCAGGAGAGATCCCTTGGTGTTTCTCACAGGTCAAGGGCACCATTGAGGAGGAGGTGACAGAAGGTTAGCATGCATTGTATGTGTGTGTCCTGTCGATTGCGTGTGTTTGCGTGTCGTGCAACGAGCATTTGTCAGACGTGTTCTCTGCTGATACTTGGCTGGCTTTGCTATTATATGACTCTCAGTCTGAAACCTAGTCAAGATGTTCACAAGCTTTTCTCTCTTTTCTTCCCTCTCCTTTGCTCTCCTTCCTCACGACTTCTCCTGAAATTTGTCGACGTTAGCCGCTATATAGCTAGTCTGTAATTGGTCTGAAAGACATGGACTAGATGTTGTCACCTGGACTGCATGTTTTTCGCCTGTGTCTGACTTGTCCGTCTCGTGTGTGCCACCACGTACTCTGCACGTACACAATGTTGCTGCCTGGAATGCCAGCTCTGTTGTCACTGGCTCTGCTGCATCCACTCCTTGAAAACCAGGATTATATCCCGCAGCACTTTTTACATGTACATAGACATGCTACACAACAATCTTTCACTTTTCCTCGAACTGATGTTTGCTCGATGACTTCTGCTGTAGCATGCGCTACTAATACAGGTTCTGCCTTTTGTATTTATTTTTCATTCTTCCTCCTTTCTCCCCCTACTCCCTCCCTCCCTCCCTTTCCTTTCTCTCTTTCTCACTCTCTCTCTCTCTCTCTCTCCAGCCGACATTATCTCCACCGTGGAGTTCAACCATGATGGAGAGTTTTTAGCGACAGGTGACAAAGGAGGGAGGGTGGTCATATTTCAGAGGGACGGAACAAAGATGAGGGTACGCAACAAGCAACTCCTCGCTTGCACACACACACACACACACTATACTCTTTAACTCCACATTTTTGCCATTTTCACTGGTACAGTGTAAGTGTCGGTCCGTGAAGATTAGTGCTCTGCAAAAGAATCTTTGGTATAGTGGGTGTAGTATATAGTAGAAATCATCTGCAGATATCGTGTCCGCGAAACTTGGCAAAATCCTGCTGCAGAAATACTTGGTGCTCTAACAGTTGACAATTCGTGTTCTATGCTACTGTATATAGTGTGTGATGTTGGTCTGTGGGAATTGTATCTGTTATGCATGGCCGAAACTGGTTGGTTTATGTACACATGTAGTTTACTGACACGACCCCCCAACACTGCATGTCACAGTTTCAACTTGTGAATGACATGAACGATTCTCGATTTTGTTGATCTTTTCATTCTCCCGTGCCTTCCTCTAGTGATTGGTCTTATCCTCTTACCTCTATCCCTCCTTTCTCCTCCCTCCTCTCTCTTCCTCCTCCTGTTTTTCTGCTCTCCTCCCTCCATCCTCTCCCCCTTTCACTCTATTATTTTCCCTCCCTTTCCACTTATGTACCTCTCCTCCCCCTCTCCTCTCCCCTCTCCTCACTCTATTTCCTTTCCTCTCCTCTCCCCCCACCTCCTCCTCTCCTCACTCTATTTCCTTTCCTCCTCTCCCTCTCCTCACACTCTCCTCCCCCTCGCTCACTCTATTTCCTTCCTCCCTCTCCCCCTCTCCCCCTCTCCTCACTCTATTTCCTTTCCTCTCCTCTCCCCCTCTCCTCACTCTATTTCCTTTCCTCTCCTCTCCTCCCTCTCCTCACTCTATTTCCTTTCCTCTCCTCTCCCCCCACCTCCTCCTCTCTCCCAGCAATCCAGAAGAAGAACCAGCTCTCCGCCGGTGTTTCGCTGTGACTACAACGTCTACAGCACGTTCCAGAGCCACGAGCCGGAGTTTGACTACCTCAAGAGTCTGGAGATAGAGGAGAAGATCAACCAGATTGCCTGGGTCAAACCCTCCGGCTCTTCTCTCTTCCTCCTCACTACAAATGGTACGCTCAAGGCACCCCCTCACTGTTCAGTGGGTGATTCCCCCCCCCCCCCTTACTGAAGTGTATCGTTAGCAAAATAAATGCCATACGTACAGTTTGGGAGTGAATGTGTACCCATGAAGTGGTCATTTGGCTCCTTCCCCTTTGGTTTCTTCCTGGCTGAAACACTCTACTGTGTAATTGATGTTCGTTAGCAAAGTGTAGTGAACTGCTGGGGTTTTAATTGTTCCTATCTCACTGGACAATACTAGTGTACAAAGATGTACAGAGGCTTTTCGACCTGCTGAAAAGTTGAAATTTACAGATATGTATGTATACTCATGCTTACTTACCAATAAAGACTGCATTCATTCGTATGCAATACTGTGCCATGAGTGAGTTTTCCCATTTGTACTGAAGGCCATATGGCAACTTCTGTTCACTATTGAGCACATCTGGCTCTATATCAAATTTCTCTCTTCTCCTCCTCCCCCTCTTGCACTGGGTCGTCACAGACAAGACGGTCAAGCTGTGGAAGATATCTGAGCGATGTCGCCACTACAGCGACCTCAATACCATCACAGACGACGGGATGCTGCGAGAGAAAGAGGCACTCGCGGAGCTCAGAATCCCTCGCAAGTGCGAGGAGGACATCTCGGTCGAGGCCCTGCCGCGGAGAATATTCTCCAACGCCCACGCCTACCACATCAACTCCATATCTGTGAACAGTGACGATGCGACGTACCTCTCGGCAGATGACCTGAGGATTAACGTCTGGCATCTCGAGATCACCGACCAGAGCTTTAGTATCCTCCCACCTCCTCCCCTGAAACACTCACACACACACACACACACACACACACACACATAGTGCATACACACATGCACGCACGCACGCACACACCGTAGTTGATAGAAGTCCCGTACCTGTACAGTGCCCAGACAGGACAGCATGAGCCCTGTGTAACTGCTCTGCCCACAAGGGGAAGAGTGCAGAGCACACCAATACAACTGCTGTGTGTATACACACGTTGTATTCATACAGACTCAAATGTGGATTGGTGTGTGATTAATCCCTTTAATGTCGGGCTAATTTGTTAAAGGGAATGTGGCTGTATATAAGGGCTAAATTTAGAACAAAACAATAGGTGCGCAGTGAAGAATTCCGTTTTTAGTATATTTCTAAATTTAGCCCTTATAATTACATTACCTTTACTATAGAGCTTACCACAATTGTAGCACAGAGTGTCCTCTATGTACTGTACATAGAGAGGTTGAGGAAGAGGCCAAGAGGCTTATTTGTTGCTGATAAACATTTGTACATCCTGTAAGTACATGATTGTAGCTGCAAACGCAGGTGGAAGCCACTAGTGCCCCCCACACAATCACTAGAAATCATCCATCATCTGCCACTGCTAGGCTACCAAAACCAGCCCGAGATGGCTGGGATTGTGCCCCAAACTGTTTACTTAACCCTCTGCGTCTGCAAACAGACATTGTGGATATAAAGCCGGCCAACATGGAGGAGCTGACCGAGGTGATCACCGCGGCGCAGTTCCACCCCATCAGCTGCCACCTCCTCATCTACAGCAGCAGCAAGGGCACAATTCGTCTCTGTGACATGAGAGAGAAGGCCCTGTGCGACGAACACGCCAAGTGTGAGTTGAGAGTGGGGGGCTGAAATGCTTGGTTGACTAGTGCATTCCTCCTATCCTTTTGCAATAATACATTGTGGGTAGATGGCGGGCTAGGTATGCCACGCATGAGCAATGGAGCAAACCCTCATGACTGTATTTGTAAAATTCCTTCCCCTTGTCAATGGACATTGTGTTGGAATCCCATGCTTTGTAAGCGGTTCCCAACCAATAGTTGTAGGCCAGCTTCAAAGGATAACTGTGTCCAGAGAACTCTTGTCCATCATTGCCGTGAAGAAATGCTCCAACTCCAGAGGCTCAGCAATTACAAGTATATACACTCCAGAAAAGGGGGCGAGGCGAGGGGGATGCCAGTGGCCAAAACAACCAATGGTTGCTCTGAGGAAGCGTCGCGTAAAACGTTTGCTCTAATCGCTGTTTCCTCCATTATGTATATGTATGTGCAGTGTTTGAGCAACCAGAGGATCCCAGCACCCGCTCCTTCTTCTCCGAGATAATAGCCTCCATTTCTGACGTCAAGTTCAGCCACAGCGGACGTTACATCCTCTCCAGAGACTACCTCACTGTCAAGGTATACTCGATATGTACACAGGCCACTCTGTGCAACCACCGTGTCAAAATGCATGCTGTTGCGATATGGTCTGTTCCGTGCTACAATGAAACGTGAGGAAAATATTAACGAACCCAACACATTAGAATGCAACCAAGTGTTAATCCTCCAACATTTCGATTAACTAAAATCTCCACCATTGAACGTATTGTTGAGCGAATGCAAGTATGCTAACAATTTGCGAGCGATGTACATCATATCTGTAGGCATCCCTGAAGTGAGATTTGTTGCTATTCCTAAGCATGATGGACACCTACGCGTGCATATGTCGAGAATATCGTTCCTCGATCGTTTGTCCCATGCTAATACACTCGTCAATTACGGTGTGGCGGGTATTGCGTGTACGAATTTGTGCCTGCAGCTGTTTTGTGGCAAAGTATGAGTTTTTCAGTCAGTGCTCTATCGTTTTACTATTGACGTGAAACGTGACCTATCTACAGTACGTGAGTGTAGAGATGTGTATACGTAAATGTAAAGTGTGTTGTCGAGGTTATTGGTTGTCCGTGTTCCGCTCCAGGTATGGGACATGAACATGGAGTCTCGGCCGGTGGAGGTGTATCCGGTACACGACTACCTGCGCAGCCGACTCTGCTCCCTCTACGAGAATGACAGCATCTTTGACCGATTCGAGTGCAGCTGGAACGGAGACGACACGTATCCATACCTCACAGAAGTCCCTCTTCTCTCCCTCCCTCTCTCCCCCTCTCCCTCTCCCTCTCCCTCTCTCTCTCTCTCTCTCTCTCTCTCAATATAATTATTGAGTGGTGGATCAGAAAAAGGGGGTGCCTTTGCACACTAAGTGGACACTATGTATGTAATACAGTGCAACTTGCGGTGTGTTAGACAACTTTCCAAGCCACCTTGCGCAAAACGAATGTCTTTAGTTGCTGCGACTGAAATATGACAGTTAGTATGTTCTCAGGGCTACCCGATAACAAACTGAGGGTGTGTCTAGATGCCGTTTGTGGGGCCCATGCTATCCACCACTGATCAGGTATGTATTCACAATCCCAACAACCTACATGTTGAACCTAGCTGGAATAACAGATCTACAGATCTCTAGATATAGCCTTACTATGGAATTTCAGTGGTTCGGGTGTTATTAAGGTAGGGGCAATGGGAGAGTGGGAAGACATGAGAGATACATAAACAGTGTTTTTCTCTCATATTGTATGGTACAGTACATACAGTATTGTATGTCCCATTTCATACAGTACATACAGTATGATAGCTGTACGTATACATGTTGTTGTGGTTCGGATTAATGTGTACGATATTGTACATCTGTGTCCTACTCTGTGTCGTAAGTATTTAGCAAAGTGTCCTAAGTGCTCTGTACAGGTGCATAACACACTTTGCCATGGAAAAATTAATTATTGTGTCGTGTAACTTTGTTGTGCGTGGAGTAAAACTCAATCACGTCTAGATATGTGATCGCTGGTAGTTTTGCAAATTTTAGAGCAGCAGATTGTGCGGTGGCTGTATGTAGGCACTTTTTGCTGCATCGTTTGGCTGTCTTTGAAGATCCTAATGTAAAAGGGCACCATGTTCCTTTGCTGTGCCTCTTTGTGAGAACAGTTAGCCCTACATGGCCTCTATTTCATCCGTGAATCGCGTGTGGCACGATCGCCCTATTGTACACACACACACACACACAGTGGACCCCGGGGTGCCATGCCTGTTTCAATGGAGCAGGTTATTGTTGAGAGAGTTTCTGTAGCGTCTTCGTCATTCACTGCTTGAGTACACACACACATACACCATTGCACGCCTTTCGTTTGTGACAGATGGTTGCCATTTCCAAGTGGGATTACTCGGTAGGATCACAGTTTTATTGAGTCTTTTGTAGTTGGGTCATCTGTAAGACACTATCAATGATACTGAAGGGAGTTCAAGAGCTCCTTTACTACAGAACCAGTGAGATAGTGTGTGTGTGTGTCCACATGAAATGTGTCTCAATTAGACCCAGTTAGACTTTCAGTCCAGTATCCTTAATCCAATCTGACATACAAACTTTGATGGCCAGAGGCATCCTCTACTCATTAGCTGAGAGATGGAGGGCCAGTTGTGTAAATAGGTCTACTTGTAACTGGATCACAGAGTGCCAACTCTGTACTCTCCCACTCCCCTTGCCTTAGTCTGTACAAGATCAATTTACCACTACACCTGCTGATTAATGTATTGCCGAGTTGAGGTGGCACTCAGGTATAGTCCACATCCTATCCTGGCTATGCACCAAAATAGAACAGTAGTCTCTCTATGCATCCTGAGCCCACCCACAATCGTTTCCTACATACATTTCCCATGGGTTTACATATTATGTATTGCCATACATATAATATGTAGCTTCTGCAAATTAGTCAAATGTGTGCGCGTTCTCTTTTACATGATGTAGCTTCTAAGATAGTGTCTGTGTGTGTCCAGTACTCTACTACACTGCATGTGTACATGTATATTATGTCTGTGTGTGTCCCAAGGGGTTTCTTTCTTGACTCAAACCGTGGCACAGAAAAGTCATAACTGGGACGTACAACAACTTCTTCCGAATCTCTGACAGACAGTTGGGAGAGGACTGGTGCTACGAGGCCTCTCGAGACATGTCCACGCTCGGCCAGATTCTCAGGCACAAGAGAGTCGTGTCCACAAACCGCAAGAAGAAGGACGAAGTGAGCGTGGAGTCTCTGGACTATTCCAGGAAGATCCTACACGCTGCGTGGCACCCGAGAGACAATATCCTGGCCATTGCTGCCACCAACAACCTCTATCTTTTCCACGAACAGCAGCCTTAGAATAGGGTGGGAGGACAGGCATTGGTGGTGTTCACTTCTTCTCACTATTCTCACACACTTTCTCTCTCTCTCTCCCTCCCTCTCTCTTGCGACCTTGCTGAAGCCACCGTCCTACCATTTTTTTTGTAGTAACACGAATTTCATGGTGCTACAGTGATAATTATCGTTACCTTTATTTAAGCGTTACTGCATACTTACTATTTCCCTTGGTTGTGTTCTCTGGTGCTTATGGGACATGTACATGATGTAGTTTGACTGTGTACAATCAACTCTCCTTTACTTCCTGTTCTCTTCATTCTCTCGTCTTTTTTTTCCTTTGTGTGTGACTTTGTGTGTATAACTTCAACATCACACACACTTAATCTCGTTTTATCACATGATCTTTCTTTTCTTCACTCTCACTTATTTTTTAGAAGAAAGTGTTATACAAATTATGTAGAAAGATTTCTTGGCTCTTTTCGGATGTGCGCAGTGACTAAGACGACGTATAGATCTACAAAAGGAATCATCTTTGTGCGACACAACACAAAAAACTATATAGCATGCACTCTAGACAATGGGTATTGACAGATTGGCCGATCTGTGTGACTTGCCATTGCAATTACACCGTACAATGCACTATGGTTCGCTCTGCTGATTGGTGATGCAAAACGGCTACTACACTATGTGTACATACTACACTTCTGTCTCGTTGCCGCCAGTAGAAGGTGACCGGGTCTTCCTGTTCGGCTGGCACGGAGGTCACCTCCTCCTCTTGCTGCGAGTTGGGAACCGGTTCCTCTGTTTCGTGCTGCTCTGCCTGAGCCGACGGTGGGTTTGTCTCCCCTGGTGCGACAGGCGAGGAGGACTCCTCTTTTTCTTCTCGTGTTTCTGTCGCAGATTGGACCTCTTTTTCTTTGTATGTCTCCGTCGCATGGTTGACCCCTTTCTCTTCGTCTGTTGATGACTGGACAGTCTCAACATGTGTCTCGGGTGCTTGCTGCTCCTGTTGGGAACTGGTCTGTGTCTCTGCTGGCTGCTCCACCGAGGGTGGAGAGTTGCTGTCTTCGGCTTCTTGTCGTCTGCGAGGTGCTGTAGGAGGTGGTGCTTGCTTCACTTGTACAGTGGGGGCACCCTCGGTGGGCTCAATGTCGATCTGACTTCGTCGTTTGTTCATCAGTTTATGTAACTCTGGCGACATCCCAGTGGCAGATGCACTCCTGTACTGTCGAGTCTCCACCTGTTTTCTTAATTGGACCTGATTAGAATTGGATTCCGTGCCTGCCATCTGCTGGCCGGGCTCCAAATTTCTGGGAGCCTCAACCTGCTCGTATCTCTGGTGGCGTTTCGCAAGTATTGAGGCCAGTTTGGGATCCACCTGTTGCTGGCCATAGATGCCTGTCTTTGGCGGCTCGAACTTGTTCTGGAAGAAGAACCCGTCGCTTACTGGAACCATCTTTCCCCTTCGTCCGGGGGTGCTCCGTCGGAGGACTTCGCCAGCTTTCGTGGCCACGTCTTCTGCCTCTGCAGACTGGGAATATTTGTACGGGGACTCCTTGAACGTAGGAGAGACTTGCTGGCTGCGAGTGAAGGCAGGGGACCGCGACGGGGATCGCTGTGGGGTTACGGGGTACCGCAGACTGTGACCTTTGCCCGATGATAGTCGCCCTTCGAGGGTCGCAATTCGTCGGTTGGCGGCAGCTAGCTGGGAGTCTTTCGCCGAGAGTTGCTGGTTCTTGGCCGTGATCTCCCTGGCTTTTGCTTTGATGAGCGAGTCCTTGGCTCGCAGGGCCTGATCGTGCATCTGTATCCTGCGCTCCTTGCTGTGCACCATCTGCTTGTAGCCATCGAGCTCTTCCTTGCAAGCCAAGGCGGCCTTCTCCTTTACTTCTAGCTCCTGTGTGAGACCGTCTACCTCCAGTTCTTTGGCGTCGAGCTCGGCTTGCTTCCCCTCGAGTGTCTGGGTGAGAGAGCTGAGGTTGTCTTTCAGCAGTGCTGCCTGCTCAACCTCCTGCATCACCTGCAGGATGCTGGCGTAGGGCGGTGGAGTGGATACAGCGTGCCCCTCCACCTCTTGCAAGACTTCGGCCATTGTTGGTCGACTCCCGGGATCGTCCTCCAGACACCGCTTCACCAGACCCAGGAGAGCATGACTCTCGCCCAGCTCCCGGAGACTCTGGTCCCGTCTCTCGGCCTCGGTGCAGGTGAGTGTCCTACCCGCATCCGCCGGATCCAACCGCTCCTTCGCCGCAGGCTGGGGGTACTGCTGAGTGACGACGTGGAGCACCAGGTTTCCGTAGCTGAAGACGTCGCCCTTCACCGTCCGCAAGCCGCCTCCGGGCTCTGCGGCTTCCGGAGCCGTGTAGCTGGAATCTGGGAGCGAGACTCCTGACGGATTGACGAACCCACAGATCTTGGCTTGCAGGGAGATGGTGAGGAGGATCTTTTCCGGGCAGAGACGGCCGTGCACCATCGGCTTCTTCTGCTCGTGAACGTAGCGCAACCCGTTGGCCACGTCTAGGAGTATGGAGCTCTTCGCGTAGGTGGGCATGTGCTGGTAGTCTTCAAGGCATTTTGCCAAGTTGAGTGGGAGAACTTCGCTAACGAGCGTCGGGCCCGAGTTGCTGCTGCCGAACAGCACCCCCAACAACTGCACGACGTTCGGATGGCGAACTTGCGCAAGCTGCAAACACTGCTCGACAAACACTTGCCCCGTCGTAGATTCCTCGCCCTCGTGTTGATCTCTCGCTGGCTTCTCAAATAGTCTAGCGTCGAATTTCTTCCCAGCACACTGCAGGCCGCGTATCTTGATGGCGTAGACGGTGCCGTAATGCCCCTGGGCTAGCTTGACCCGCGTCTCCTCGATCCACGGACCGGCAGTGTAGGTTAGCTGCTCTAAGGATTCCTTGATGTCCGCCATTAGTTGTTTTATCCCAAATCGCACGCGAGTCGAGAACTGAACACACACAGCACCGCTGCGCTGCAGAACACAGGATGCGCTTTATCACCGCGAGGAATGCTGAATATGCGTGCGCAGCGTGCGCATAGAGAAGTGCTTTTCCTTATCTAATTGTGTACACACACAAAACAACAGGCATCGTGTTCTATAATCACTAGCAAAAGATGGTCTCTGACAGATCAGCTCCAGAGAGCCGGCGAAGGTTGTACTCTGCTGACGAGGGTCTGCACTGTCCAGTTGAAGAAGAAGTTGATGAGGGACATTGGGGGATATGTTGTTGGAAGACCACATCTGGTTGTGGCTGGTGAGCCACGGAGCCTTTGTACTTCTTGCGAGATCGGAATGAGCTCGACCTTCTTGGAGGAGGCGGAGCTTTCTTCTTCGGGAGGTCCAAGTCGGTAGCAGCTCTTGCTTTGTCGGGTGTTAGGAAATAATTCTGGTGGTTATCAGCAGTAGTTGGTCCATTTCTGAATCCATGAGTGCCGGAGCTTGTTTGAGACTTGGCCGTTTCTTCTGCTTCGACTCTCTCCCTCTGTCGTGCCAGGAGTATCTCAAACTCGGCAAAACCGTTTGGCACATTTGAGGGTGGAGCTCCCACTGTCGGCGGTGGGAGTTGAGTTGGTTGCACAGAAACTGGACTAGAGTTTGAGGTTAACTGTTCAGGTTGCTGGCCTCGTGGAAACTGTTTGGTTTCATGGTTAAACTTTGACGGGAGGAGGAGAGAGCTTTGATTTGTTCCTCCACCAGTGACTGCTCCAGTGATCTTGATGACTGGACTGATGGTTTGCTGCTGGGGTTGAGGAGTTGCTCCCTGCACTGACGAATTGGGCTTGACTCGCAGTGATCCAGCTCTCTGGAGACAGTCTTTCTCCTCGACCCTTTCGCTCGACTTTCTTCTGAACGAGCTGGTTCTCTGTGGAGGCTTTGGTGGCGGAGCCTTCATCTGACCGGTAGAATTACGTCGAGAGTTACTATGATCATCATTTGAGAGAGTTGGCAAGGCGACATTATGGACACCATTCTGCAATTTGTCTGGGGTGGAGAAGGTGCTTTTGGTCGTTGATATGAAGGTTGAGGTTGGAGGAGGAAAAAGTGACTTGCTGGGTGAGCCAGATGACTGAGCTGCCAATGGTTGGTTTGAAACTGCTAGTTCCTAGAAAAAGAATAAACCACTTGCCTTAATTTTGATAATGAGGGCGCGATGACTCACTTTTCAAGGTATGTATTGGTAAGGGAATCAAAGTTTGTGCCAAATTGCAACATGCTATAACTACATACTCACATTGCATGTCTTGTGACCACTACCAGGCGGTGGAATGTCTCCACCATTCCGACAATGGGAAGCTGGGACGCCATTCTCGAGAGACATGGAACTGGTGGTGGTGGTTACGTTGTTGGAACCTCTCTCCATTGCTGCGAGGCTCTGGTAGAGTTCGAGGGTGTTGGGAAACGGGGGAGTGTTTTTGCTAGCTGCGTGCTGAAGACTCTGCACGGCGTAGTTCATATCGACTCGTGGGACCTGTTGGTGGGTGTTGAGCTGGACGCCACCCAGCAGGCAGTGGTAGGCGAGAGAGTAAAGAGGGTGCTTGGACATGGTGTGGAGGTGGGGGGAGAGACCAGTGTGTCCGGGGGGATCCAGCCATGGCTGCTGACAGACGGTGTGCACTACAACGTTGCCAAATGCTGGGACGTCCACTTGGGCGTCGGTACATTTAGTCCCAGTCTCGAGAATTTTTACGAACGCCTGCGGCGGCATTATTCCGTAGTCTGCACATTCACCGCTGAGAGCTCCAGCCACGCCCACGTCTCCGATCTTGGCACTGGTGGAAGGAGAGACATAAACGGATCTCGTTGAGACGCGCGTGTGAGCTACGGCCGGCTTCTGTTCGTGCAAGTAGAGCAGCCCGCGAGCTACGTCCAGCAGTATGGAGACCTTCACGAACTCGGGAATGGCCTTGTGGCGACGCAGGCACTCGTCCAGCGAGGCTGCAGGAGGGTCCATAGCGAGCGTCAGCGACGGCCCGTCCGTCACGACGCCGTAGAGCATTACGAGGTTCGGGTGCCGCAGCTGGCTCAGACGAACGACCTCCTCGACGAACCGGTTGGCGAGGTAGGGCTTTTTCCCGCCGCACGTCCAGTCCATGCCTGAGTCGACGAGCGTTCCGCCGCGATAGCGGACGCCGAAAGCTTCTACGACAGAAGCGCGGATTCTGGAGCTTGCGACGTATCCGACCGTCGTATGGAGTTTAGCTTCCATTCTCAGCGGCCCCAGCCGGCGTCGAACGTGCTTCTGACTCTCTCTCAGTTGTTCCGACATCTTATACGCGCACGTCTTCTTGTTCCCTAATCTGTACCACAGAACTAAAAGCTGGCTAGCTACTAGTTTGGCCAAAAACCGCCGGCCAAATCAGAGCTCAATGATTCTGCTGTGGTCCAAGGAACAGCTCACCACACAACTATACCACTGAATGCCTAACAGAGTTATCACTGACACACACATAGCAGGGTAGCAATGAGCCCCACAGTATGCATGCATACAATGTCATGATGAAGCAATGCCGCACAAGTTTCCCTCCATCATTGGTGTGATGTACGGAATTCCAGAGTATAAACAGGACGTGACCCAACCCCCTACACCCCCAGACACGTCACCCGAAAAATGCTATGCGCGAAATCGTCCGGGTGGAATTTGTTAACGAATGACCACGTCGTATTTTGCATACCAATAGCTCACAATTACAGCCCTGCAGCAGCACGGGTGTTGAAACAACCGCCACAGGATAGTGTATCTCAGACACAATAACACCAAATTAATATCTCACATCTCACTCAATAATCACGTTAATTTGGAACTCCTCCCGGCCGGCAAGTTGAGGCTCACTTGTCTGGACATTAGGTCTATGAGGGCTAAAAACCCGCTGCGTCTTGGCTTTCTACCTGCTTCACCTGCAAAAAAAACACACCCACAGCTGTGTTAGATATTGGTACGGTTCTGTAAGACCTAAAAACATCCGATGTTGATACGGTTCTGTAAGACTTAAAACATCAGGACAGTAATAGCCTTGTGTATAGGACATCAGATATGTGTTGTGCAATACCCATATTTCCTTTAAAACTGTCAAGCAGTATATAACTGCTTCACTAAACACGCGGAAATCACCAACACAAGCCTAATATAGGTGAGAGTGGTATGGTGGCAGATGACAGGGTTGCTATAAGGATGCCGCAGTTTGGTGTCTGTGTAACTAGGGATGGAGCAGAAACGTGACTCGTGAAGGATGCGACTGCAAACACAATCAACACACGATACACTGACAGCCCAGTGGGAGTCACACGGATGGACCATAAAGAATGAACTGGTCTCTCTATTCCATATGCATACACATCATCTTCCCTTCTTCCCCAGTTGTGAATGCAGTATACAGAACCTCTCTCTAAGGACAATGAGGACACCTCCTCTCTAATAAGGACACCTTTTCCTCTCAAAGAACAGTTATGCAAATTAAACCCAGAAATAAAGACACCTCACTTATGTTGACACTTTCTCCTGTCCCATTGGTGCCAGGATTAGTCTTATGATGACTCTCAACTTACAAGTATTACACACATCAAGTGAGGTCTGCCAAGACATTGCTCACTATGGGACACTAACTCCAAGGAATGCACTTCACCAGAGCTGTTACATGAATAATGCTTAGCATTCAGGTTACTGTAATAATACACTGTATATTATATAGCTATGTAGAGAGTGGGAGAAGCATAATTAATATGGGGCCCAGACAGTCCCACTGCATATTTCTCTTTTGAGCAACAAGTTGACGTGATTATCCGGTATGCTTGGTGCAATTACATGAATGATTGGCTTAAGTAGTTTCGATCCCTTTATATCCAGTTTAATAGGACAAACATGCTCACACAGCCTGCAATACACACACACACATTATGGATTATACCAGGACTCTGTGTTGGTAGTACAAGATCATTGGCAGAGAGGGAGATGAAGAAAGCAAACGGAACCATCCACAGACCACAGAAGAAGAATGCAAGGACCTGCACAGACGAACCACACTTTCATTACATGCACACACACACACACACACACACAACATCATCTATACTTCACCAATATACATATACATACCTCCTGAAAAGGGTGCCATTCAGTGGCAAAGTACTGGAAGGCTAGGTAATGGCTCACAAGTAGAAACACTGCAGAAAAGAGGAGACAACACACACACACACTCACACACACAGTTTCACTCGAGCCTGAAACTCAAGAGCTATATTCCGCATGCTTTAGAATCCACACCCTATCAATCCCGACATTCCTTTGGGAAACTAGCCAGGGAAACACGAGAATGAACGAGGAAAACTAACGAGGCTCAGTGTTACACACCTCACACAGTGTGTGGAGTGTCTAAATTCCGCCAATTACGCAATAGACCAGATGAATAATGTGTTATATACAGCTAAGTAGAACGCCTCTATTTAACCCTCTACACTGATGACCTAGGATTATCCATGTACACAGGTCAATCAATAAGGTCAGCTACATGTTGTATAAGTAACCCTTCTAATGTCATACAGCCGTCACTAATTGCCGAGTAGATCAAGGAAGAATTTTCCACTAACACAAAGTTCCTGTTAATATCCCGATTTTACCTTTTGTAGGATGCATGTGCTAGTGTGAATGTTTGACAACAGATGCCAACAGTTCAGGATGTATCAGTATACTACATCCAGTGAGTATGTAGTGAAGAGGACCTGTGCCGGCGAGGAATCCAGGGGAGAGGAGGGAGATGAGGGGGAAGGTGGAGAGGAGAGACCCGTAGCAGAGGTGAGCGAGGACGGCCGTCAGGACCAGCAGGACCGGGAATCCATCGATCAGCCACAGACCCAGATGCATCACCACCACACACTGGACCAAGACACACAGGTCACACTCTCAGTACATTTCATATGCCTCCAACTTGAAGGGAACGTGTCAGTACATGAGGGAACCCCAGTGCAAGAATGTTTTTAGTAACAGTTTCCCTTATGTACTGCCACTCCCTCTAACTTCAAAATCAGCCGTACACACTTGGCAAATTTTCCCCATAGTTTTCGTAACTTATCCATATTGAGCACAGATACGTGAACACCTTTTGGAGTCTTCTCATAGATTTTTGCCTGTAAACTACTGTATGCAAGAATTTCGTATGGATCCCTAGAGTTGGGGGCTCTGCAATATTATTACTAGAGTGAATGTAAGACGATTGGCAAGTGAAGTTGAGTAGGAAATTTCAGCTGCTTAGTAATTTCGTAAAGCATTACATCATCAACAGAACCGGCTACATACATACGCAAAATTCCACGATTCAGGTGACTAGGCGTGGCTCGATTTACTCGCCAATAAAGGACCTGTCTACAAACAAGACAGACAGTGATGTGAAGAGAGGCTTTTGGAGACCTCATTGTGGTCCACACAATGCAATTATTGGAGGGGTAATCTCCCCCCTTTTGGAGGCTGGTATGTGAACATCTGTAGAGAACAAAGAAGCTTTTGACTCGGGTCCAGCTGCAAGAGAGCGTGGAAGTGGAGAGTGGGAGGGCCCGCCTCCTGCGTGACTAACCACACGTCCAACCTTCCTAGTGACAGCCGACATGCCAAATGCTTATTAGCACTGGGTTTTAACTCATTAGTCCACTACTACTCCAGAGAGTGTACATGAGAGGACCTGGGCTCTAATTCGAGGAATTTAAATATCAGAATGCTGTCTAATTCAACGACCAGTGCGTGTGAGGCACGACAGTGACCGTGTTATGAGTTACGTGCAGAGGAGGACAACGGAAGAAGTGTGGCCAGCCTCACCAGCACTGCAAAAGTGATAACTTTCTTTGCCAAGACAGAGTACTCCTCGATCAACTCGGCCAGGTAGTAGAGACCGGCAGCTGAAAAAAGGTTGGTAGGAGTGTGAAGGTCTGGTGACCTCTGTGGACCTACCAAGTGAGAGAAGAAAGAAGGCAAGCTGCAATACCACTGCAACCCAGCTTATAAGCCACAGGAACATCCCAGCTTTGTGAAAGAGGCACTGAAGAGTTTATCTTCTTTGCATGACCTTAGTTACTAAATTTCTCTCTAAATTAGCGACGCGCGCGCCGCTGCTGCTGCCACACACGTACACACCGGTGCAAAAAGGGGTGGGGCTGCATCGACTGTTTTTTTCCCCTGTGCGCGATGTCTCTCGTCTCTGTCAGGAAAAAAGGCTACCTCCACAAGCTTCCTGTCAAGGGATTAGTCAAGGTCAGCAGTGCGTCTCCATGCACCACCAGAAAACTGTTCCCTCCACAAAATTACTCATAACTAATGCTTTATGCAGAAATGGCACCGGCGGTGGTTCGTTCTGCACAGCACTACCATCGAGGGGATCGTCCGACTCGAGTACTTTGACAACGAGAGCTTCGAGGCGACGGTCATGGGGAGGCGGACCATCCCGCTGCGGCAGTGCAGGGACCTGTGCCCGGCCAGCGGCAACAAGACGCATCCGTACGTGTTCCAGTTCACAACTCCCATGGGTGAGTCCACTGAGAACCCAGACATCTATTGCCATACGACCGCAGCTATATATTATCAGACGACACCAATGCATGTGTAGCTATCTTGTGCAGGTACTTCTAGTGTAGCTAGCTATCTCTGTGCTGCAGGACACCACGTTTTTGCAGCAGATACGCACACAGACATGGAGGAGTGGATGTCTACCATACAACAGGCGATCTTGGAAGACAGGCAGAGAAACCGCCGCAAGAAGACACAGTCCATGATCCTCCAGAATGAGTCAGAGAGCGCCCCGCAGCCCAGTCTTAGTGCATCCGGAACCACCCCAGTTTCTCTCACCATGAAACACCAGGAACATGCCGAAGGCAATCCCTATGAACCCAGCAACTCAGGTTTGGATAGAGCCGTGTACACCCAAATATTTGGTTGCCAACTCCTCCATGAAAATGCTGCATTAGAACAGCATATGTGTACCTAGCATTATGTACACTTTGGGAACCAGGGGGACCGCAGAAGCTGTCAACTCTGTAAACCATTATTCAGGTACATACAGGGTGACTTTGGAGCTGAATGAGTCGGCCCAGAGACTCAAGTTCACGGCAATGATCTACAACCTGGAGATCTCGCCCGAGCACATCACACTCATAGCCGCCGACTCCGGGGCAGACATTGCTCAGTGGAGCTACCGACAGGTCAGGACCTACGGGAAGACGAGCGGGAAATTCAACTTTGAGTGTGGGAGACTGGCCAACACGGGGGCGGGGAACTTTGTGTTCAAGACGACGTGTGCCAAGGAGATCTTTGGAGTGGTTCACCACAACATCAAGCGCATACGCAAGGAGATGGAGGAGGAAGGGCGGCTGAAGAAGGAAGGAGGTAAACAGCAAGGTGCGGGGATGGTGCCAAAGCAGGCCAGCCTCCCGGAGCAGTCGAAGCCACCAGCACCAAAACAGTCTGCGGCCGAGAGCGTTGACTACAGAGTTCACCAGCCAATGAAGCCGATGCCGTACAAACCAAAGAAGAGTAGAAAAGAACCGACTCTTAGTGTGGGCACATACAGGTAAACACTTTCATCATAATTTAGATTCACTTAGTAATATAATGTGCAATAATAATCATGCTTATTGCTAGAGAGAAGTCCAGGTCATTCATGTGTGATGTTTCTTCTTTAGAGAATTTGGGAATCCTCCGACATACGAGGAGATTGCAGGAGCTGGACCAATCAAGGAGGAGGAACAGCACCAAGGTATGTCTTAGCTATTTCTCCATAGAGTGGGGTCCAAAGGGCTTATGATAATATGGATGCAGTGGGTGACGAGCAAAAGGTACCTGAAGGCTTGTATTCTACTGTCGACAAAAGCAAGAAGAAGAAAAAGAAAATGGCACAAGGTATGTAGATATGCACCCAGTAGCTCTAATAGTTATTCATTCCTGTTTTATTTGTATATAAGGTGGAGATGTGGGCGAAGAGCAAAAGGTACCTGAAGCCTATTCACCTGTCAACAAGACAAAGGAAAAAGAAGCACAAGGTCTGTATCATACCTATATATGTGCCACAATACTGAGTGTTTGTTTTGCTGCAGATCTGGTTTCAAAAGTCAGTCAAGATGAAAAGAATTCTGGAGCTGAAAAACCAACTGCCAACACCTCTCCTTCAATGGCAACCAACGATCCATTCTTCCTGCCCCTCACCTCAAGTAGCCCAGTCACAGAAGACGACAGTAGAGAGAAAAGCTCAGACAATCCCTTTCAGCTGGATCCGTTTCTCTTCTCCCCACAGCCTGGCGCCAACTCCTTCAACCTAGCTCCAGATGCAGACCCATTCGCCCTCCCACCCCTGCCAAACAATGTCGTTAACCTGGGCTCCAATCTTTTCGACGACCTGGGGCAACTGGACATCTCCGCCCCCGCCGCCGGAGGAGGGTTAGACACTTTCAATTTTGACCCCCTTCTTACCAGGCCTGTCCCATCCACAAACGGGCCCTCCAATCTGGTACCACTAGCGGGGAACCCAGTCGGAGATGTCAGCAACCCGAATTTCGACATTGATTTACTAGACGACAGACTGTTTGACACTCTGGCACAGCTCGAAGCTGGAGGAGATGGAGTTGAGAAGGAGGACCTGGGAAAAGGGGCCACTGCTGGTGGTAAAGGTGTTGGCGGGAGGCCACAAAAGACGCTCAGTAAGCAAGAGTTTGACGACTTGTGGGACGGAATATCTGCAGCCATGCCGGCCATTGACACCTGAAAACCCCCCCCACCTGTTAGCTACCAAACATTTTATACATGACATTTTACATGTGACATTTTACAAGATTTCTATTTTTATAACCACAACCAAACTTTTTTGTCCTTTTGTTGTCTTTTGTACTGCGAAGATTAGTATCGAAACCTCACCCTTTTAGCTGTCTTGGGAACCCTACATGGGATATGTTAATGTTAATGTAGTCATGAAACAGTGTAAAGAAAAGTTTGCCATACCCTTGCTGTGGCTGTGGGTCCTGCTGGCCTGGTGCCTTGTAGATGGACTGGCCAGAGGGTCTTCTTATAGGGACAGTAGCTGGTGAGTCTGTGACCTGAGCCAGGTGGTTTGCCAGCTCTCCATACCTCTCCCGTCTCTTCACCACTGTTCTGACAGCTCTTGTGGTGCTCTGCTGCTGGCCCGAGAGTGAGTTAACGAGAGGGACCACCCTATCTCGATTGGTGTTCCTATCACCACAACCTTTGGTTGGGAGACTAGTTAGAGGAGGCTGCTTAGTCTTTGGTGCTTGCGTCCCTCCACTCTCTGGGGCTATCCCTCCCTCCACAACTCTACTTGAGGCAGTCTCAAAATCATCGTCTTCCTCCTCCACCCATTCCATCTCAGAGACGGTGAGACTCTCCTGGAACGAGGCCAGTTCTGCAGCTTCTAGCTCATCGTCCCAGCCCTCATCTCCTTCTTCATCCCTGTCCCCAGTCTCCCCACTCTCACCCTCCCTGTTCCCCCTCCCACCTCCCCCATTCTCACGCTCTCTATTGCCTTCATACCGACGGACATATGGATTGTAGCTTCCCGTCCCTACGACTGAGAACAGATCTAGCTCCAGTAGGATCTCCTCTAGTTGAAAGGTTTCTACCTTCTGGCCTGGTGTTCCTGCGAGACGTGTGTTGCCTCATCTGCTTGTGGTAGCAGAGTCTCTGCAGCTCCTCCAGCTCCCCGTGAAGAGAGTGGTACGTCCTCTCCTCTGGACAGTCTTTACACTCCTCCAGCTCCCTCTGAAGCCTGGTATACACACACATTGCCAGTCACATACTTCTTCTTGCTTCTATTGTATATATAGCCATTGTTTTGTGGGAAACTAATAGGAAACGTGAGCTCACTGCACAAATGATGCATGGTGCTGGTGTGGATACATGCACAAGAAACAATAAGCAAAGAGTAGCTTCCATTTCCCCACAATACAGTGTTTTCCACAAGACTAACGACCCACAGTATAGCAGTGTGGGCTTGCAGCTTTGGTTGACTCACTTGACCATCTCAGGATCAGTGGAGGATTTTGTGCCAAATGATTCACACTCTTCCTTGAGCCGCCTGATTTCTGCATCATTCCCCAGAACCTGATTCTCAAGCACTGTATATACGTACGGACATAGACCACAACAACATGTGGGATAGAGTGTGATATTTTGCCATGATGTTGAACTTGCCTTTCTTCTCCTCTTGCTTTTTTGCCAGTGTTTCCTCAACTTCTGTCAACCTTTCCTCCAGTTTTTTCACCTCCTCTCTCTCGCATTCAAATTCAGCCAGTTCTATATATAATAGGTACACATTTTAACATGTTTATTGTCCACCACCAATGATGGCGGCTAGCAATACACACCTGCTTCCAGCAGAAGGACCTCATCTTGAAGCGTGGAGACCTTCTTCTGAGTCAGGGCCTCCCTGTGTTTGGCACCAGCTCCCACCAGGTCATAACTCCTCCCAAACTCTCTCAACTCCTCAAGAAACTCCTCCCTATGGTATGTGCTATAGTATATACCTGCAAAAAGCGTGTTAAATAAAACTGACCTCTCAGAATCTAATTTCAACGTTGCCATTTCCTGGAAAGAAAGAAAAGACATTCAGCAGATAAAACAATACCATTCCAAGAAGGTCGCATAGTACAACCAGTTCAGAAGCCATTTTCTGGTTGGCTTCCAGCAGTTGTCTGTTCTGCTGCTCGAGGATGTTCTCTCTCATGCGCAGGAGTCTTGCTTCCACCTCCTCGTCCACCATCTTGACGTTTCTCACGGCCAGCTCTCCCTGCTGTGCCTTCACCTCTCGCTGCACCTCCTCCACTCCCTGCACACATGACTGGATCTCCTCCTTTACTGTACAACAAGGAGCAAGACATAAAGACCAGAGGATGACCTTGGTGAGTTGTCACCAACATTGTCTGAGTTTGGTGTTTCTTGAGCTGAGGCTGCGTTCCGTGTGCAGGATCTGCTCAAAGAACTCGTTCAAATCACCGGAGCTCATCACGCACTGTGACAGCCTTTTTCATTCAATTTTCCCGCCAGCAAGGTGGTGCGCGCGCTCTACCTAAAAATAGGGTAATTCACTACGTAATTAGTATGCTAAATATAGCACAGCCGATTCACGCTGCGCACGCACGCTAATCCTGCATAAAAGTTGGCAGCGTGACAGAAGTAGACAAACAAATTTAATTCTACACATAGGCCTAAAAGCAGTAGCTATAATACCTATCTATGGCTGGGCGCAATATAATATGCGAGCCAGCGTCGTCGACAACGGATCCGGAAAACGGGCAAATCCTGCAGACATACGCTGCAGACGAAGGCGAAGGCCTCTTGCAGATATCCTTGCATCATGATGGAGACCAATATCTAGAGAAACTCCTGTCCAAAAGCAGACGGTGAGTTAGCTATAGATCGTAGGCCACCAGGCAATTGTCCTCGTGATCGCGGTCTTCTTTCCTTTGATTCAGCGACTCGGTTTTCGAGCTACGGAAGCTACAGCACCATCACAGACCTGTAACTGGTTTCGACAGTAAACCGGCGCTCGAGGAGCTCCTAGAGAAGCGTCGTCAGGCTCTGCCGCCGATCGAGACAGACGTGGCGGCCGGCTCGTCGGAATTCGACCGACGCGTGCGGCACTTTCAGTCCATAACGTCGGCGAGCGACAGTGGAGATACAGACTCGGCCCAAGAGCACAGGCCTTCTTCCATTCGCCTGGAGATTCGCGGGTTGATCGAGCGGCAGCGAGTCCGCGTAATGCTCAACAGCGCCCACGCGGGCGAGATCGAGAGAACGCTGAACGACGCTCTGGAGAGACGTGAGCGGCAAATGCAGCAGAGACGCAGGGCGCGCCCTCAATCGAGGCCAGCACCTCAAGGAAGAAGCAGCAACAGGGTAGTAGGCGAACCACACGACGGAGGCGGGCATTCCGCACTCGGCGGTTCCGCAGTCGTGAATCTACGGCCGATGCGGCAACCAGAAAACGGACAGCAGTACCCCGTACCCCAGCGGGACCAGAGCTGCATACTTCGTCACTTGCGAGAGAGCCCGGCCCTGGGGTCCCTTCAGCCTGCAGATAGGGACAGGATTGTCAACGAAGTCGACAACCTAGTCCAGCAACATCTGGTGACGTCTACGCTGTCTGGAGAACTCCGAGGTGTCCTAGAGCTCCACATCCAAGTGAGGAATAACACGCATAAAATTTTCATTGAAGCTAATAATGGTATAATTCTTGCAGAATCGAGTGGATCACGTTAGAAGTGGAGTTACGGTCCAAGACATTGGCCGTTCACTTCAGCGACGCAGTGAATACACAGCCTCAACTGCTAGGTATAGCTACATTTAATTGTTTGTAAACTTGTTGGCCATTGCTTTTCTCACAGACCATTTCATCCCGAGGTTCCATCAAGTGCGGCAATGTCTGAGATGCAGACGGAGCTGAGAGAGATGAAGTCTCAGATGCTGGAGCTGAAGCAGTTGATGAGGACAAGCTTTGAACTCCAGCTGGAGATCCAGAGAGCCATTCGACAGGAAGTTGCAGCGGCACTAATGTCAGCCTGTACTTCGCCATCCCTTAGCTCCATGCCCCCAACATCTACCGGTAAGATTTGTACAAATAGCTGGAATCATTCTCAGTGGATTATTTTCTTCCAGTGCCACTGCGCAGCACCACAGTTGTTGAGTCTGGAAACTGTGTCATCTGTTCAGAGGCCAGCATAACCTCGGTCGTGTACCGGTGTGGACACATGTGTGTCTGCATGCAGTGTGGGCTGGAACTCAAGGCACAGGGACTCAAGTGCCCCATCTGCCGAGCTCCAATCACCGATATCATCCGAGCCTATTCCAGCATGCAGTAAAATATTGAACTGAACTGAACTAAACGATGCTTTTTTGATCAGCGCTTGGGTTGGCGTGCGCGTGCGCATTGCGTGTGCGAAGTGTGCGCATGCGCGGATGTACCGTAAATCCTAAATAAAGGAACTCCGAAATATGAGAAAGTGCACTCAGTGCGCGTTAATTGGAGGTTGAATCACGATGATTTTTGTTGCTGGGAGGTTTCCCTCCCTCGTCGCCGGCTTACTTCGGTCACCCTGTTCTCTACTGACGCCCCGACGATCTGTGGGGCTGCTCACGCGATTGACGATCGTGGACAACAGCGAGAACGCCAAGAAAGTGACGCGCCTGGACCGCCCCTACTGTATAAAGCTCCCCAAAAACTCTCGCGAGGCGGGGTTCGGCGAGGTGATAACCATCGCTCACCTGGGCAAGGTCCACAAGGCCCTGGTGGTGAGCAACCGGCGGCCCAGTAAGAAACTCCCTCGCTATGACACCCACAACATAATCCTGCTCAACGACAAACTGGAGCCAGTGGGGACACGGATAATGGGCCCTGTGCCGTCCGTCATTCGGAAGAGAAGCCGACAGCTCTCAAAGGTCATCGCCATTGCTACAAAGTTCATCTGACTACATTCCACAAAACACTGCAATCTTTTGTCCACTTCGTCAGATCATCCGCCATCCTAATATTATTGTCCAAACCAGAGACAGTATGAAAATATTTGGTGATCAATCTCTTTGCAACTGGTATAACACAGTAATGTAATTACAAAGCAAAAATTTGATGTCGGACGGAAAAGTGGTTGTGAATTTGCTATTTTTACGAGTGTCACTGTGGGTTGGCCTTAGTCACTTGATCCAGCTGAGCCTTACAGTTCAAACACACTCTCACTGATGTCTCATAAGCAGCCGGAGCTATAGGGAAATAAGACTCATTTGCTGTACGTATAGACTCACATAGACAGATGGTGATATGCCCTATATAGCAGTGACTCACAAGTTACTCCCAGTGCAGCTTTCTTGACTTTACTGGTACACGATCCGCAAAACGTCTGTCCACACACGTTGCAGTCATGCTGAGCAGGAAGAGAGTCGAAAACAGAAGCACTCAGCTGCTGACTGTGAGCGGCGAATATGACACACCTTTCTTTTGAGGAAAAACAACGCTGTCTTGCATTTACTGCATAGCTCGTGCTGTGTGGCTACAACAGAGTTATCATTGTACAAGATGTTTCCGTCACACCACCATCGTTATAAGGAGCACACCTTTTCCATCTCTCTTAGTTGATTGCGGTGTCCCTTGGCCTGCCTCGGGGTCCACCACGCCTTCCCCTGACCTGGAGACAGTGTCCACAGCTCCTGGTGCAGTGGGGGAGTCTGTGTGTCTGCCCTGAGACCCTCTCTGGCTTGTCCTCTGTCTCAGTTCTGGGGTATGACTAGCATCTGAGAGCCCAGCCTCCTGTGGGAGAGAAATGTAAGGGTGTCAGAGGAAAAAGGGGTAGTCTCGTGTGACGACAGTTTTTCAAGGTAAAACAGTTTATCACAGCTAACATACATTGCTGCTGTCTTGTTCCTCTGGTAGTGCTGGGTTTATCACAGAGCCAGGCTCTGTGTCCCCCTCCTCCTCCTCCTCCTCCTCCTCTACTCTCTCCACCCCCTCCTGACTGCCAGTGGTCTCGGCCGTCACCTGAGTCTCTATTCTCTGTCTGTTTCTCCTCCGGTCCAATCTGTCCTTCAGTCTTCTCAGCAGCAGCTTCCACAGACCTATCGACCCTGAGGCAGAGGGTCCGTTGCAAAATCAATTTCAAACTGTGATCAGGCAAACAAAAACTGCTAAACTAAGCATAGTGAATCGAGTATATATAACCTCTACATAACTTGGGCAGACAACGTACTTGAAAAGAAGTGTCTGTTAGTACAGAGAACAATGGCAGGAATGGCCGCTCCGATAGTGTGCAAGTCAATGGTGCAGAGTAGCACCAGTACCAGACACAGTAACACAGTCACACTGTGTAGTAGCAACAAACAATAGTCACTCCCAACGATGATGATGATGGCGATGTTACTCACCACAATGAGACTTCTGGTGATTTCCACAGGTAAATACTGCATGTATATATGCAACAAGGAAAAGACAGACAGATGGGAAAGAGAGATAGGTATGGTCATAAAAGAGAGAGCATTTTACACCACTGCTCTGACCTGTAAATGTAGTCCAACATCTTTTCCACACCAAGCATAAAATTTTCAGCATTTGATAAACTACAGCAACAAGATGGCTGGAATGAATTGACAATTGGGGGTGTTTTTCCCAAGGAGACCACTCACTTACATTTGTCTAAACTCTAATCTTGACTTGTGCATTTGTTCCTGTTCAGTGTGCTGCTTTTTCTGTATAAGGCAAAACAGTCATATATACAAGGCTCAAAACAGTCTAGTAAGTTTTCTCTTAAAAGGAGAGTTCAAGAGATCACAAGTGTGGACCTGATAAACAACATACCAGTAAGTGTTGGTCTTGGTCTAACAGTTCCACAGGAGGAGCCTTTCTCAGTTCTACCAGAGTTTTGGTCTGCCCGTGGTACCTCCCGACACCCATGACCAGGATGGCAGCGAGTGTCAGGAGACTGCAGAGCACGGCTAGACACAGGGACCATAACAAGTCAATCAATACTGTGACACCGATCCCAGCAAGAATTGTGGTATAGTAAGAACTCACAGGGAAAGTAGAGGAGGAGGCTAAGGACGAGTATGGTGACTAGAGTCAGTAAGTAGTTCTCCCACCTGCACAGAAGGGTGTAGCGTGCATCCACCGACGATACCTCCAGTAGCCACGAGTGGACACTACACTACACAACGCACAATACCTGGCGACGTAAAGCGCGATATCCCAGACGGCAAATACGGGGTACAGCCTGTCCAGTAGGTTGTGGTAGGTCTCCACGGTCTGGCTCACGTCCCTCAGACCAACGCCGTTATGGTTGCTGCTCCTTCGCGGCTTCACGTGGGCGGTCGAGCGCCTTTTCTCGGCGGACATTGCTGTGTCGTGGTCGAAGCTCTCTCACCAGTCCTGATCTAGTAAAGTGTGTCGAAAACAGGGGTTCTGATGTCTTGTTCTCTAGCTCTAACCGTCTCAATACACCATCATCCGCTTATGTGCCACGCCTCTCTTATGTGTTTTTACGCACGCGCAGATTATACTCGAAACGCGATATCGAGAAGTGAAAATGCGTGCTCGGTGGTTCGTCCGCTGGAGCTCTTCAAGAGCCCCATCAAGTTTCCAAGGCCAGCGTTTCGACGCTGTCGTGGTTGGAGGAGGTCACAACGGCCTGGTGGCAGTGAGTTACGGCCTCGGTCGGTCCAGAATGCGGCTGCTCGCTCTGTCCAATCCTCACGCACGTGTTAGCTAGAGATTTTGCAGGCAGGATACCTCGCAAAGGCTGGCAGATCAGTAGCCGTGCTGGAGAGGAGACGGGTTTTGGGTGGAGCTGCAGTGACGGAAGAAATCGTGCCAGGTACGGTATTACAACAGTTAGCTAGTGTCTCCAGAGTCTACGCGATCTAGGTTTCAAGTTTTCCAGAGCATCGTATCTACTCAGTCTTCTGAGACCACAAATAGTGAAAGACCTGGAGCTCAAGGTGGCACTGTTTCTCCCTTTACTCTGCCGTGCATGTCGCCACCTTTGTGCAATGTCTCAGAAACATGGGCTGAAGGTTTATCTCAGAGACCCCAATGCCTTTGCTCCTGTACTGGGCTCAGAGCAGTACCTACTGCTGGGTAGCGATCCCGAGGAGAACAGGCGACAGATTGCAAAGTTCTCACAGCGAGATGCCGAGGTCTGTGTATATACAGACCAAGTTGGTTGAGATTGGGGGAATATTGTTTCTTTATGTGCTCATAATTATGTGTAGATTTTCATTACCTTTCGTATGTAGAAATATGAGGCTTATGAAGAGTGGATGGGGGAGATTGGTAAGACGTCACACACAACGTTTCAACCTACTGATCTCTCGTTTTTCCCCACAGCTGATGCTATTACTCCACTGCTAGACAACAGTCCCATCAACTTCCACAATCTGTTCTGTGGAAATGTAATTGAGAGACTCCGTGCTCTAAAGGCCATCGGATCCCTCATTAAAATCAGTTAGAATCTGCATCCACGCAGAGTGTTAATTTAGTCAGTGAGATCGACGACTATTTTTTCAGGCTCCAAGTTGAAGGGCGAAACTGGAGCTTTATTCGAGCTATTGTCGGCTCCAGCCACTAAGATGAGTTGCATCTCTATTTTGTTTTGCCGAGGTTAGGAAATTAGGGAAGATTTTTCTCCACACGTTCTGGATCGGTGGTTTGAATCGGAGCCGCTGAAGGCAGTGCTGGCAACAGACTCTGTCATTGGTGCCATGCTCTCTCCCTACATGCAGGGCAGTGGGTGAGGGAGACCCTGTGGTTTGGCCTCTGATTTAATTAAGGCACCGTCTCTTCCAGCTATGTGCTTCTGCATCACGTTATGGGGGAGGTGGAAGGAAAGAAAAATGCCTGGGGGTATGCCGAGGGAGGGATGGGTGGAGTTTCGCAGGCAATAGCTCGAGCAGCCGAATCATACGGAGCCAGTCTCCACACAGACTGTGTTAGTATAATTATACCACTGCCTCTCCTAGGGTTGCTTGTTCTGAATGCTGCCCGTGTTGTGTGTTTCAGGGAGTGTCACAGATCCTGGTGAGGGAAGGCAGAGCTGTGGGTGTTAGACTGGGAGACGGGACAGAGATCCTGGCGGATGTGGTGCTGTCAAATGCCACTCCCAAAGTCACTTTCCTGGACCTTCTGGAAGAGGTGAGCAATGATGTCATCTGCAGTGTTGTACTATTTCCTGTAGGGAACACTGAGTGAGAACTTTGAGAGCCACATACGGAGCATTGACTACACATCACCAGTCACCAAGATCAATGGTAGCTATAATCATGCATTAGAGTAAATCATCATGCACCTGAGCCTAATACATGTAGCTGTATGACTTGCTTGATTTGTTGAATCACGTAGCATGCATCTGAGTCTAATCGTTGAATGTATGCACTTGGCTTTATTTAGTGGCACTGCGTGGTCTTCCAAACTTCTCCCAACACTTGCCCAATGCTGCCAGTGGTAGTCCGTCTCCCCATCACCAGTGCACCATTCACCTCAACTGCGAGTCCACTCAACTGCTCCACGACGCCTATCTCCCTGCGCTGAGTGGTCGCTACTCCAGCAGGTTAGCTGTTCTCTCATCTTATAGCTCTAGCACGATCCTCTCTGTTGAAAATCCTCTGTCATTGTTATTGCACCTTTTGGAGTGGTGTTTCTGGTTTATCCGCCCTACTCCGCGAGGGTACGTAATTCCCGTAATACTCTAGTCAGAATAATAATCATAACTTACGCACAATTCTGAAAATCCTTTGTCGACTAAGCTACTCCCATCTAGTCAGAATAATAATGACTGAAGTCTGCACCCACAGTGAAGTTTCTAGTCTTCTAGCTGTTGAACAGTGCAATCTCTGTGACCCAGACCAATGCTGGAGCTGTGTCTGCCGAGCTCCCTGGACCCAACCCTGGCTCCTCCAGGTTGCCACGTGGCCTCCATCTTCTCTCAGTACACTCCCTACCACCTGGAGGGAGGCTGGACCCAGGAGGCCAGGGAGAGATATGCTGAAGTCGGTGAGTTCCATAGACAGTGTAGGAAGGGAGCATAGCTAAAAATTCTATGCGTTAATGATGGGCAAATAATAGTATACGACAGGAAAGCCTCACTGTGGTATAATTGCGAAATGCTTTTCATTTGTTTCAACTGGCTTTACCATATAGCCAGCCTTCTTGAAGAGCTGTGTGCATAGTATGATGAACTCTTCTCTCTCTCTCTCTCTCTCTCTCTCTCTCTGTGTGTGTGTGTGTGTGTGTGTCTGTGTGTTTGTAGTGTTCGACAGCATAGAGGACTACTGCCCAGGGTTCAAGGGACTGGTGGTGGGAAAAGAGGTTCTTACACCACCTGATTTGGAGAGGATCTTTGGACTTACTGGAGGGGTGCGTTTAACCATTTTGACGGTGCAGCATTGAATTTGTGTGTTAATTACAGAATATATTCCATGGGGCAATGTCACTGGACCAACTCTACCTTTCCCGGATGTCCTACCTGAGCCCCGCCTACTCCTCACCAGTACCAGGTCTATTTCTGTGTGGCAGTGGAGCTCACCCAGGCAAGCCTGCTGCATGGGTTTCACTACCTCTCTCATATTCTAACATGCATTGTTCCACTCCAGGAGGTGGAGTTATGGGATCTCCAGGGTAGACTAGCAGCACTAGCAGTTTTGGGCCAACTGTGAGACTTCTTTCTGTTATATCGTGTCTCAGTTTCATTCACGTTCTGCAAATATTGTGTAACACAAATGTACACGTCGTCTGGCCCCGCAAGACTACACGTACACCTAGCTTATGCCCTGCGCACGTCACCAGTGGTACGTTGGGTGCCAACGATTCACAATCGGTATAATATATAGACAAAACTAAAATTTGCACACAGAAATTTCCGCGATGGTCTGTGAAGTGAAATTGAGTTTAAATGCGAGTTTTTCTAGTTCCGTTCACAGATGACCTCCACCACCTGCACACACACACACACACACACACACACATTACAAACAGATCTCGGTAGACTTTTGGGTCACACGTACACTCTGTTCCATGAGCTGAGGGTCCACACACCTCTCTATGGTACTGGACACCACCTGCTCCAGTAGCACTCTCACTATCCTATTAGACATGCAGCAGAACAGACACACAAAACACAGCCTTTGGCTGGGACACTACGAGGCAGGAACCTTTACTGTTCGTCTGAGACGTATCTCCAGAGGTATAGCTGGAGGTAGTGAGAGTCAACCTGCATCTGCTGGAGACCAAACTTGCCAAACGTCCTCAGTCGCACACACTCCAACAGAGCCTGCTCCAGTAGAGAAGGGAGGAAGAGTGTAGTGCGTTCACGCGGCTGTTGGGTAAGCTATTTATATATATGTACCTTGAGGACTATTTTTATGATGCCAGTCACGATAGACAACTTGAAGAACTCGACAGTGGCAAACACCTCAATCCTCTCGTAAAACAGCTTCTGGATGTTGCTCAGGAGACTGCTGTCCATTGCACTACTACACAACAACACAGAAACACACACACACAGAGAAGTATACACCTCTACCTAAGCTAGCTCACCTGGAGTAAGGGTAGCCCTTCCCTCCCTGAGTGTAAGAGTAGGTATGTCTGCTGCCACCCTCTGCAGCGAGTGATCGGTTGGCAGAGCATTTGAACGATAAATCGTCACAGAAGCAGGCGGCAAAACCAAGTACCTGAGCCCTGTTCTTTCTTGGCACCGTCCTCGTAGAGAGTGGCCACCTGTTTGTCCAGCAGAGTTACCTCCTCCACCACTCTCTTCATGCCAGATCTGACACTGCGGGGCTCCAGGGTGTGCAGCCAGTCTCTCGTCTCCACGCTCTTCCTTATCATCTGACGTGACACACACACATTGTACACACACTGGCATTACCAACTGGAGCAAATTCAAAGTTGGCCAACCACGTCACTATGCTTCGTTCAAAGTGGGCTCATTGAATTTATATGGCAGTCATTACAGTGCACATCCAGAACCTTCAACCTCAGGCCAAATTCTTAAATTTCCAGGTTTCAATAGGTCTGTATAACAGATATAGAGAGTGTAGAGTCTGACCTGAGATATGACTTGCCCCTGTACTTTCACGTAGTGATCGAGCAGTTCCTGAGAGAGAGTCAGATGCAAGGTGTGTTTCAGCGTGCAACCCAACACAGTAAGATCACACACCTGTGCCACGTCTCCTGCTCGTCTGAGCAGTTGTGTAGTGGGTGTGGCCACAATCGGACCTTGCTCACGGGGAGGAAACCTTTCGTCTCCATACGACACCTTGTGCACACACAGATACAAAGTACGACACATGGAGTGGACATTTTCTTAAATGTCAAACAAGCACACAAAAAGCTTAAAAGTAACTGCTACTTTTCCTCTGCAATTTTAACAACTGTATTCCACATGAGCAATAGAGTTACTCAATACCAGGTAGCAGATGGTGGATCTGTCCATGTCGTGGACCAGTCGAGACAGAATGAGGACCAGAGACGGAGGGTAGGAGGGACTCTGGTCGTCTCCCGTCTCTGTGAACCTCTGGAGGGGAGGGAGGGAGGAAAACGTAGTGGGTATCTACTGCAGAGGAAGCAGGGGGTGTGGTGCTGATGTACGGTGTAAACTTCTGCACCAATACCATACACCATGTGTTGAATGGATTCTTCTTTTTAACAACAACTACACAAATTTTTTCGTGTGGCAAAAAAGTATTCGTTCGAGAAAAAAGCCAGAGCTACATACAGTGCATCTATACAGGTGCTCACGTGGCAGGTGTCGAGGACGTGGTTGATGAAGGAGATGACGATACCTTCTCTCACCAGGCAGAGACAGAACGTCTCCCGGAACTGCCTCTTGTCTGAGAACGAGACTGTCGGCTCTATGAATGCCTGACCGTGGGCACAACGAGAGGGAAGAAGAAGAAAGGAGAGAGAGAGAGGGATAAAAAAAGTATAATTACACACAAAGCAAAAACCTTGAGTTGTCCTAGAGAGGACTCAAGTCCACTCTTAATGGAGGCATAGAGAGCCGTGCAGTGGCCATTGAGAGAGTCATCTTGTTGGGAGGAGGGTCGCCGGGCGGTGACCAGGGCCTGCCGGACGCTGGTGAGCGTGTCCGAGAAACTCTGCCGCAGTCGCTGGGCATGGCAGGACGTGTGCGATTCGGCTATCTGCTGAGTCAGCTGCTTGCTCTTACTGGTGGGGAGGGAGGGAAAGGGAGAACGAAAGAGAGAAAATCACTTTTCAGAGAAAGCCCTCACACAGATTGCTATGTGTGAAAGGCTCTATATAGAACTGTTCTCCTTTCAAGATACAGTACTTTGTCCGTGCCAGCCACGCTAACACCGTTAATGAAACTCACTGCTCTAGTCCAGCTGCAGGGAGCAGTCTGTTCATGGCCTGCAGTTTACCGCTCAGTTTGTCCACAGCCTTCACCAGTTGGCCACTGTCGAGATGTACCGACTGTTGGGGGTGTGAGAGAGTAAGGAGTTGGGAGGGGGGGTGAGAACGGGGTGGCCTACAGCCGTCACCTCTTTCTCCAGCTTCCTCCTGACATTGGCAAGACACTGGGCCATGAGCGAGTGAATGAACTCACAGAGAGTCTGCTGGGCAACCTCTGACCTCTTCAGCTCCTCCTTCTCCGTGCTAGTTAGGAGACGGAAAGAGAGCACAGCCACATTATTAGCAAATTAGTCTGTGCAGTGAATTTGCTGGGTGCTTGTGTGTCAAGTGACCACCAAATGTAGGCAGTGTAAAATTTTCGTGGATTGGCCGGTTGTAAGTTTCATGGAGCTGTATAATATTCCAGTTACCCCGGCTCACTATATACACTAAAGTGTAAATTTTTAAAGTACCATAAAAATACATCCATGTGCCATGAAACTCGGATTTCATACAGCCCAACTCATACCTGTACGGCTAACTTACCTCATGAGGTGTCTTTTGACAAACATATCATAGCAGGACTGAATGACGAGGCTCAGATTGGCCAGAAACCCACTGCACACCACATTCACATACTCCACTATGTCCTGTCAACAAAGACGAGAGGGGGGAGCTGTTGTATTTCGGAGCTCCGAACACATTCTGGCAACATAGTCACTTTATAATGTTGCCTCCCTGTATCCCTTCCCTTCTCGTACAATCAGTCCTCCCTATTGGAGTCTGGAATCTTAAATTGACGGGAGTGCAGTCAATTTTAGAGGAGCTAGCGTCCCAGGGCTGCTATAAACAACACGTTCAACCTCAAGGAACTCTCACCATGGCTCCACGTTCTCCTTCTTTCTCACTCTCAGCTGCAATCACTGCTAGGTCTTTTTCCAGCTGTCTTTGAGAACTGGCACAGAGACAACAGACAGACACCGGTAGTTGATACAGCAGGTATTGAATGCATGGAAAGGACTCGAACAACATGAGAGAAACATGTACTGTTGGGATGGGTGTATAAAGTGGTTCCTAACTTGTCGAGGAACTGGTGACAGAGTTGTGACGGAGGTTCGTTCAGTGCCAGCAGGAGATCGACTGTCTCTGCAGTCATACTCGTGGTGGACTGGGAGGAGGAAGGCAAGACAGAAAAGATGACGAAACAAATTCTCAATACTGCGTAGCTGGACCACAGAGTATAGGCTCATAGCTGGACCTTATTAACATCCGGTCACCTTCTCCATTTCGAAGAGTTAGTATACAGTATGTAGCTGAGGTGTTTGGGACGAATCGTCCACTACTGAGGTATGTCCATATCGAAAGTGGGTTCGTGCCTCATATGCTCCCTGCTATGTCCCCTCCCAATGATAGGAGTATATACACGTGTACACACATTAGGGTCGTCCAGTCTGTTCTTGAGGTCGCTCTTGAGTCTGGCCACGATACTCTGGCAGTCGCTCTGGATACCACTGAACGACGGCATGTGCTGGTACTGTGCCAGTACACGACTGGCCTTCACATACGTCCTGCAGTCCAACACACACAAGTCAACGTATACAGAAAATAGGTTTACCAGATCCTGCAACCAATACACACAACAGTATACTGACACAGACACACAGCAGTGTGTGAAATAGGTCCTTTAGCCAACAATTGAGATATATAAATGGGAGAGAAAGACTCAGTGTCACACACACGTAACTAATTTGTACTGCAAATCGTAGGCAGTAGAATGCTTTGGTTAAAACACGTGAACGAACAAAGTCTGCTTAAAGCAGCACTGCACAGTACAGGGAGTACACAGAGAAGGGGTAGGGTTAGTGGGAGACATACTTTACTGCCTGAGCATAGAAGCCCATCTCCATGCACTTGTTGAGTCGAGAAGGCAGCTCAAACAAAAACTGCAGCTACAGTGGAAGAAATGCCAAGCATCACGTGAATAAGACATGGCATCAGAGAGGGAGAAGTAGAACTCTAACTTTCTTGAGGAGGTGGTGGACTCCGCAGAGCTTCACAATCTCCCTCTTTCTGTCTGCTAGAGCTCTGTTGATGGAGCCACTGGCTGTCGTGATATCCTGCAACCACACACATACTGTATGTACATCATCTATATTTTTCTCCCACTTCAGTTCCCTTGTGGTTTGATCTCAGACGGTTGATGTAGTACACAATAGCAGCCACTATTTTAATTGCACGACTGGTAATGTTCTAGAAAAAATGTCCCCGATCCCCAAGACTAGATCAGTATGAGAGGGAGGAGAGAGAAAGGAGAAGAGGAAAAGAAAAAAGGGAAAAAGAGAGAGAAAAAGAGAGAGAGGGAACCTCCATGCGTGATCCAAGATGTGTCATGTCGTCTTCCAATCGCTGAAAGTCGTCCTTCATCTACACAGCAGGAGTGAAAAGCAGTGGCAGATGCACAGAGAAGAAACAGGGCCCACCTCTCTGATGGTCTCCGAGGCCTTGATAAACTTGGAGTGGTTCTCGTACACCAGATACTGCATGTTGGAGTCCAGCTCCTGGATCTCTGAGACAAGGAAACCACAACAGAGAGGTAACACGGACATCACCAAGAAAAAATTTTTGCTGAATTTGTGGTGCATGGAAGCTAGTATATACCACTAACTTTCTGCGTACACATTTCACGCTAGAAGCAAGATTGATGAGATTGCCACTACATGCACCTACCATGCATTGAAGAACTAAGTCTCGTTTCCTTTGAACGTAGCTCTACATATACGTACCTCTCTTCATCCGCTCCTCTTTCTTGTAGAGCTCATTCAGAGAGCACTCCCTGAGGATCTTCTCCATGAACACGGGCGGCTGGAACCCTGCCTTATCAATATCCACTGGGTTATCTTGCTCCTATACACAGCAACACAGTCATTGTTCCAAAGTTTTGCCTTTCCCTTTCAATCTCGCTCCAACCTTTTGGCCGTCTTGCTCATATTATTATATCTCTCGCCTTTCCCCACTCCCACGCTTAATTTGGTGTTCCTATATACCCTCTTTTCACTTTTTTCAACCTCTTTTGTCTTGGCCCCTATTAGCAAACACAGTAATATGTCACGTGTGTCTCACACAAACCTTGCCCTGTTCGTTCTCCACTCCGTAATACATACGCAGCAGTCCACGCCGCCGCCGTCTCAGCTGATGGTCCTCCCCACTCGAGTCAGGCGACGGAGCTGCACGAGATAGGGATCAGGCCGCAGCTCGCAAGAAGAGTTAGTGCTGCATGCGTTCTCACCTGTGGCCGAACTCTCTGCCCTTTCTCTGGGCTCTTCAGCCATTGCTGCTGCTGCTTAGACTAGACTAGACGCAGAGTTAGGAGGAGACTAGGAAGAAGATGAATTGAGGTCAGGGGTCACTGGTCCTGATTCAGACCCAGCCCCGTTACATTGCGCAACTATCACGCCGCGTAACACGTAACGCGCGCGTTGAGGTCTGCATTGTCATCATACAAAACACTCAGCTAATAAATATACACTGCGCTCCTGCAATATCTAGTACTACTTATAGTCAGTAGACTGTTGTTCTAATAAAGGAGTTGGGAGGGTCTCTAGAGACCCTTGTTGTAGTAGACGTGTGTGAGCTGAGGTCTGGACCGTGAGATGGAGTTCCTCAGCTCTGGTTCCAGACTGGCCACTGCGATAGAGCTGAGCCAGATGAGAAGAATTGGAGAGAAAACGTCAAATAGAAATGAAACGGTGTGTTTCAAAGTGTGTGTGAACTTGATGCATATTATTGGATGGGCAATAAGACGTAAGCATTAGTGCCAAATCTACATTGTTTGCCACCCATTAATTTAGGACAGCACTAATAATGTAAATTCCACTCGTTTCGGCATCACATTATTTGAAAAATCCCGCCAAAAATTGCCCGATTACACACCTCTTTTGTGGGAAGATGGCGCAGCAGAGAGGGGTAGCAAACATGAGGCTGTGTGGAGAAGAAGCAGAGAGAGATTGGCTCACGCGGTGAAATCTTATGCAAGTATCTGTAACAGACTAACCAGAGACCGACCAGCAGCACTTGCAGCGGAGCATTAGCCCACGGCATTCTCTGTGGAGGGATACAATGTGATCGTAGCCTCAAAACCAGGCCTCTGCGCACTAGGCTGAATTGGTATTACGCCAGATATTTTCCTATTTTTTGGTGGAGATATAATTATAGTGCCCATGTGCATTCGCAGGATTTCAAGGCTGCTAGTGGTGGGTAATAGTACACTCTGTTATACACTGCTTAAAGATGTTGTATTATGAAGATGATGTATGTATACCTTAAAGAGGTTTTTCTTTTCTAGGTGGTTCATAATGAACGCAGGAATTGCTGCAGGGAAAGAGAGGATAGAGGATAGAGCTCTAGTGTGTGTATGTATGTACTACAAGAACCTTATAATGAGTATATACATACCCATCCCAGGGACGGCCATGACAATCCGTGAGAACACAACCTGACCAATGGCTCGTTGAGCTGTTATCTGCACATTGAGAACACACAGTAGCATTAGTCACACACACACAGAGACAAACTGCAGGACAGTTTTGAAGAAGATGGCATTCGTAGTTTGAGACTTACCCGTGAAATACAAATGAGGCAAGCTGTGCGTTAATTTATCAACAGAATTCTAGTTTGCTTCAGCATCGTAAAAAACCTTTCTCTCTTGATAGTTTCCAGCTATAGTGCACGGTGTATATACATACGTACCTGAGATGAGCCCAGTTGATTGTCATCACCATCCACCACAGTAATACCCTCCCTTAGCTCCCTGAGTGAGAGGTAAACATACTGTGACACTCATTGTACATTCCACAAAATTTCCCCAAAGTTCCCTCTATGAGTTATGCAATGGATGGAGGGTGGCGATCACTAACCTCTGTCTCACGAGGGGTATATTGATAGTGTTGGCAGTGGCGACTGCTGCGAGTGGCACAAACCTCCCAACCAGAGGAGGCATTCTCTGAGACGGGAGAGGGATAATCAGAGATCAGAGAGAGAGAGGCAGGGATAGAGAGAGAGAGGAGAGAGAGGGAGAGAGGAGAGAATGAAGAGGGAGAGGGGGTGAGAGGACCTTGGCAAAGGAGTTGAGGACCAGAGCTGCAGTGGTGGCTCCAGTAGTTGCCGCAACAAACGGAACGGCCAGATCCCTGTGAGTGTGAGTGAGTGACAACTGTTTACTCACTACCAGCAAAAGTTGTAAGGCTCCAAGATGGCTCCAACTATACAGTGGAACCCCTCAAATTCAGACACCGATGGGACAGAATAATTTGTCCATGATAGTGAGGTGTCCTTATTCAAGCAACTATTCTTGGGGAAAGTAAAGGTGTCTTTGCTATCTTCATTTCAGAGGTATATGTGTCCTTGAGAGGGAGTTCCACTGTATGTAGGGGTATACACGTGGCTCTCACCTGTATGTGATGACTTGGTCTCCGCTCCTGTTGGTGTAGTTGACTATGGCATTGAAGGTCTGGTTTGCCAGCTGCCAGAACACCACAGATGCCGGATGCCTGGGCAGAGGGGTGTCAGAATAGACTGTCACCTATATTATCGTAGCAACAACACCCAGAACCCTCACTTGTGGAAGGTCATCATTAGTCCAATGATGGTCATGTTGCCGTAAACCTGAGGGAGAATTAAAATAGATTGGAAAATTCCCAACTGTACACTAATCAGCTATAAACACAGAAAAATGGGGAAAGACTTTCTCCTTGGCTGTGTGCATTACAAACGTCTCCAATCTCATTGACCTAGAAATAGAGTACTGACCTGGAAAGACATGCGGCCTACGATGAACATCTTCTCTCCGGTGTCTGGGTGGTAGGCAGAGTCGTAGAGCCTCTTGGCCTTCCACAGCTGGCTCTCTGTGATCCCCTTGCCCACCTCCCCTCTCCTGATCAGGAGAAAGAAACAGACTCCATTGCCACAGGCAAAATGTGGTGTTGAAAATATGTAATTTTCAACACAACCATTTTGCTCATGTCAATGGGGATTTTCATCAACACACAGAGAAACGAGAAAAGCAGGGAAAAGTAGCTATACACTTCAGAAAAGCTGAGTGTGGGGATGCCTGCGTGGTGCCAGCTTACGTACTTGTAGGCATGGACGGTTCTCGCCGCCTCCTCGAGCTTGGCGGGGCTGGCGAGAATGTTGAGAGGGTTCACCGTCTCCATGAAGTGCCGGGCGCGACCCCAGTAGGTGCTCTGGTCGTGTCGCGGTCTGCTGAGGTCCACATGGAGAGCCGGGTGTACTGCTCGACTGCCGTCCATCACCCCTGCTGCCCCGCTCGCGGTGCCTGCCGTAGAGTTTCCACCGCTGCTGCTACTGGCAGCACGGAATCTTCTTTCAGCCATACCAGTCAGCTAGCTAACACTATAGAAAGTCAAGCCGGGAGTCAAGCTAATAACAGTTTTGGAGGTGTGGCAGGGGCGTTGTGTCACGGGACGCAAAGGGGCAAAGGTTACGTTTACGTTTTCCACTTGCGTTAGAAAAGGCGTAGTGCGTGAATTCCATCAGCTCGTATATTATTATAGTTTCAGAGAGAGCAAGCCATGGCAGCCTACCCTCCCGTTGTGACCGGACCCGCGTCGCGCGTCGAGCTACGCATCTCTTGCAAAGGCCTATTCTCCGCCGACTTTCTCTCCAAGTCAGACCCAAGGGTGATCGTCCAAACCGCTGATTCGCGCGGCGCATGGACTGAGGTAAGCTCACCCATGCACTGTTCCACCTCTTACACACCCAGCTACTCTCGTATGCTAATAGTAGTAATCTTAGATGAACACTGATTGAATCCCCTCTTGCAATTGTTTTGCTCTCCTTTCCTCACTGCAGTGTGGTAGGACAGAAACCATCAAGAACCAGCACAATCCCCAGTTTGTCAAGGCGATAGAGATGACCTACCAGTTCGAGTGTGTCCAGAAGATGCGATTCGAGGTCTATGATGTCGACGATTCCGCCTTGTCCCCCGATTACTGTCTTGGGTACATGGAGTGCACCCTGGCAGAGGTGGGTGAGAGAGATCGCAAGCACATTATGTTATTGTGAGCTTGGAATAATTTCGATGTTCATGGATCTAGTCGTGACTCTACTGATGGTTCTATGTATATAGTTTTGTTCTGTCTTATTTATCTGCAGATTGTTAGTCTTCGCTCCCTCACCAAGAAACTCACGAATGACCAGATCACTGCTGACTGCGGAACAATCACTGTAAATCAATTCCTACGTAAACATCTGGATTTACTCAAGACGCAAAATAAACTTCCTGTGTTTTGTATAAGTACTTTTGCCCTACAGATTGCTGCTGAGGAGATATCTGGCAATAATCAACTGCTAGAACTGCAGTTCTCTGCTAAAAGTTTGGACAAGAAGGTTTGCTATTTGCACTCTCATCACGCACACAAGATAGTGTATTGATATACCACATCACCTGGAACAATGCAGGATTTCCTTGGCAAGTCCGATCCTTACCTTGACTTTGCACGACAGAACCCTGACGGAACCTATTCTGCTGTCCACAGAATTCCTGTAAGTTTGTCAGTGTAATTCAGTGATGGGATTGAGACATTATGAATGAGTTCACCCTTAAAATTTTCAAATGCTTTGTGTGTATGTCAATACATTACAGTATTATTTATCCTTGCATGAGATTTTCTAACTCAAGGTGTTGGTAGTAGGTATATATACTAAAGGCTTGCATAGTAGAAGAAAGCTCAGAATGAATGTTCTTGCCCAGAAATCTAACCTGTAGCATTCTCCATTAATTATTAAATTAAAACGCTCTCTGGCCTACCACAGCATGTCCTCAAAACTCTGAACCCTCACTGGCCGGCGTTCAAGGTGCAGTCCCGGCTGCTGTGTGGCGGAGATCCATCCCGCAGTGTCCGAGTCCGGTGCTACGACTGGGACGAGGCGTCTTCCCCTGACCTCATTGGCGAGTTCTTTACCACCATGGCCGAGATGGGCCAGGCAGCCGAAGGAAAGACGGTATGTGATTGGTAATGTGCTGTGGGGAAATAGCCACTCTAATTTTGCACGAATATTCACCACATTACATACAGTGTTGGGATTACATTTTTGGAACTGTTTCGACCATAATTGTTATGTATACCTCTTGCGTAAAAAAGCTGATCAGCTATTATTGGATCCCATATTGTACAGTTGGAATGGGAGGCCATTCACCCTGAAAAGAAGAGGAAGAAGAAGAACTACAAGAAACTCTGGAACTATTTCACTCCACAGCTTCAAGGTTATACTTACGATGGCATTCATCTCCAACTTTTGTGCATGGAAAATCTCCATCACATTTGCACGCACACAGCGCCTCCTGTGTATTACATAAGTTAAAAGCCGCTTCAATAGGTAAAGAGTAACATTTTCTCTTTCTCGTTACTCACTAGAGTACTAAGCTATACTCATTCCTGGACTACATCATGGGAGGATGTCAGATAAACTTCACTATCGGTATTGACTTCACGGGGAGCAACGGAAATCCGAGGAACCCCACCTCGCTCCACTACATCAACCCTTCCTGTCCCAACGAGTACACCATGGCTCTGTGGGCCGTGGGGGGAGTCTGCCAGGACTACGACACGTGAGACCTGCCCACTGCATGACACACACTCACACACACATGGCAACAAAGGATCTTCAACTATGAGCCTCACATTTCGCCAGTGTAGCAAAAGTGAAGCACAGCACAGCAGACTCACGATCTCCACACTCATTATCGAATGCATTTCTAAATGCAATACAGTGTGACCATAACGTGAGACCTGCCCACTGCATGACACGCACTCACACACACATGGCAACAAAGGATCTTCAACTATGAGCCTCACATTTCGCCAGTGTAGCAAAAGTGAAGCACAGCACAGCAGACTCACGATCTCCACACTCATTATCGAATGCATTTCTAAATGCAATACAGTGTGACCATAACGTGAGACCTGCCCACTGCATGACACGCACTCACACACACATGGCAACTATAAGCCTCACATTTCTGCTAGTTTAGTGTTGTGTTGTATTCCAGGGACAAACTTTTCCCAGCGTTTGGTTTCGGAGCTAAAGTCGGAGGCAAGGTGTCTCACGAGTTCCCACTGAACGGGGAGTGGGACAATCCTTACTGTGCCGGGATCCAGGGAGTGGTTCAAGCCTACCACCAGTCACTGCAGACTGCAGAGCTGTACGGACCCACCAACGTGGCACCCATCATCAACCACGTGGCCCATTTCGCCGCGCAGGCTGCAGGCACCGATCAGCAGGGACCATCTACCACGCAGGTACTAGTATACATAGGCACTACGACCACACAGGTGATATGTAACTGGGTTCCCCTCTTTATTGTGTAAAAAAGAAGGGAATGTAATACTACCAACACTGCAGCTATCAGTGCCAGCTCCTACGCACTTACACTACCACGCTGACACAGTCCCTTATTGCTATATAATAGCTCAAGCACGACACGTATTAAGTTTCCAAGCTTCTGTCCAACTCCACATTAGTGTGAATTGACGTAAGGAGGCAGTATACTAAGCAACCTCTCTCTCCCCCTATCAGAGCTACTTCATTCTCCTACTGCTGACGGACGGAGTTCTATCTGACATGATGGAGACCAAAATGGCGCTCATCAATGCCTCTAGCTACCCCATGTCTGTCATCATTGTCGGAGTGGGCGGGGCTGATTTCTCGGCAATGGACGAACTGGACTCTGATGATAAATTGTATGTGATCATGTGGACATTAGAGTCACGTTGTATACTGGTCTGGTGACAAGTATGCAGTGCATCGTGCAAGCATTAAGCTGGACTCACAATATGTTGGATTGCTCTATCACACGGTGTAGCTTCACGTAGTGTCTCAGAGATATGGATTCTATCATAGCCACGCGGCATGGTTTGACGTGGTAATTCGACACAGTGTGAACCTAGCCTTAGTTCTGAGGCTAGGTAACGAATAAGTAGGTGCCAATGAGCAAATGTGAAGGAGTCGGGGCAATAGTCAGATTGTGATGTGCACTTGTTGTTAGTGGATTGTGGAGCTATTGATTCTGCAGTGATAAAAATGAACGAATATTCTGATTCACAGGTTGCGTGTTGGTGCAATAACTGCCGAGAGAGACATTTGCCAGTTTGTTCCCTTCAGGAAATATGCATCGGTAGGAAGACCCAATCTTTAACACCCTGCCCCTGCACAATAATGACAAATGTCTTCCACTGTGTCTGTTGTTATCAGGGATCTCCAGCTGCCATGGCGAGTGCAGTACTGGCCGAGGTGCCTGCCCAAGTCACCGCCTACTTTACCAAGAGGGGCATCCCTCCACTGAGAATGCCACCACAGTAGTATGTCCTGTCATGTGTGACATGACTTAAAACAAAGTCTTAAGTTACCGAATGTTTGACCGAGATGTAAATTTTTTCAGACTACAAGAATGTCGATCGCGTTGTAGCAGTGGTGTATTATAATTGTACACGGATCTGAATCATGATTCATGTGCAAACGTATAATGGGCTTACGGTGGTATATATAGAAAATTACGCTCGAACGAACGACTAGGTTGGCTCGCTTCCGCTCGCCAATAAATACAAGAGGCCCGGCCATTGGAGTGATGCACTGTGTGACAGGGATGAAGATACAAAAGTGCAACTGACAGAGGAAGAGAGGGGAGGAGAGGAGGGAAGAGCTACAGAGATAGGTAGAGAGGATGCACGTGTCTCACTGTAAGGCAGGTTCTCTGCTCGGCAATGGCCCGCTCGTGGATCCGGATATGGTATATACCGAGGTCCGCATCGATTCGCGCATGCGCACTAAGTTTATACGGAAGACGATTTTTACTGACGGTTGCCTGAGTACGGGTTGGCAGTTCTGTCAGAGAGAGCAAGCCATGGCAGCCTACCCTCCCGTTGTGACCGGACCCGCGTCGCGCGTGGAGCTGCGCATCTCTTGCAAAGGCCTAATCCGCGCCGACTTGCTCTCCAAGTTGGACCCTAGGGTGATCGGCCAACACCGATGACCAGCGTAGGGGTCGTGGGTGGACGGTAAACGAGGGGAGGGAGGGGGAGACGGGAGATGGGCGGGCGGCGAGGCGAGGAGGGCGGAGGGCCGGGACTTGCGGGAAGGGGGGCGTATGCGGGGTAGGGGGGGGAGGGGGGGGCGGTGAGCAGAGGGGGCCGGGCTAGGGCGGGGGGGGTCGGGAGCCGGGGGGAGAGCCGGGGGCGCGGGGCGGGGGGGGGGCGGGGGGGGAGCGGGGGGGCGGGGGGGGGGGGGGTTTAGGCGGCGGGTGGGGGGGGGGGGGGGGGGGGGGGGGGGGGGGTGGGGCGCGTGGACTGAGTAGCTAAGCGATCTCGCTACTGCCAGTCTGTTACTGCCGCCTCTTACAAACCTAGATACTCCCGTAAGCTAGTATATCACTACTATAGGGATGACGCAGATTATCCGACCAGCATTATGCCCAGACGTTTGAGATAATCTTAGATGAACACTGATTGAATCCCCTCTTGCAATTGTTTTGCTCTCCTTTCCTCACTGCAGTGTGGTAGGACAGAAACCATCAAGAACCAGCACAATCCCCAGTTTGTCAAGGCAATAGAGATGACCTACCAGTTCGAGTGTATCCAGAAGATGCGATTCGAGGTCTATGATGTCGACGATTCCGTCTTGTCCCCCGATTTCTGTCTCGGGTACACGGAGTGCACCCTGGCAGAGGTGGGTGAGATCGCAAGCACACAAAAGACGGTCGCACTTTATGTTATTGTGAGCTTGGAATAATTTCGATGTTCATGGATCTAGTCGTGACTCCACCGAGAGTTCGATTTAGTGTTGCTCTGTCTTCTTTACCTGCAGATTGTTAGCCTTCGCTCCCTCACCAAGAAACTCACGAATGACCAGATCACTGCTGACTGCGGAACAATCACTGTAAATCAATTCCTACGTAAACATCTGGATTTACTCAAGACGCAAAATAAACTTCCTGTGTTTTGTATAAGTACTTTTGCCCTACAGATTGCTGCTGAGGAGATATCTGGCAATAATCAACTGCTAGAACTGCAGTTCTCTGCTAAAAGTCTGGACAAGAAGGTTTGCTATTTGCACTCTCATCACGCACACAAGATAGTGTATTGATATACCACATCACCTGGAACAATGCAGGATTTCCTTGGCAAGTCCGATCCTTACCTTGACTTTGCACGACAGAACCCTGACGGAACCTATTCTGCTGTCCACAGAATTCCTGTAAGTTTGTCAGTGTAATTCAGTGATGGGATTGAGACATTATGAATGAGTTCACCCTTAAAATTTTCAAATGCTTTGTGTGTATGTCAATACATTACAGTATTATTTATCCTTGCATGAGATTTTCTAACTCAAGGTGTTGGTAGTAGGTATATATACTAAAGGCTTGCATAGTAGAAGAAAGCTCAGAATGAATGTTCTTGCCCAGAAATCTAACCTGTAGCATTCTCCATTAATTATTAAATTAAAACGCTCTCTGGCCTACCACAGCATGTCCTCAAAACTCTGAACCCTCACTGGCCGGCGTTCAAGGTGCAGTCCCGGCTGCTGTGTGGCGGAGATCCATCCCGCAGTGTCCGAGTCCGGTGCTACGACTGGGACGAGGCGTCTTCCCCTGACCTCATTGGCGAGTTCTTTACCACCATGGCCGAGATGGGCCAGGCAGCCGAAGGAAAGACGGTATGTGATTGGTAATGTGCTGTGGGGAAATAGCCACTCTAATTTTGCACGAATATTCACCACATTACATACAGTGTTGGGATTACATTTTTGGAACTGTTTCGACCATAATTGTTATGTATACCTCTTGCGTAAAAAGCTGATCAGCTATTATTGGATCCCATATTGTACAGTTGGAATGGGAGGCCATTCACCCTGAAAAGAAGAGGAAGAAGAAGAACTACAAGAACTCTGGAACTATTTCACTCCACAGCTTCAAGGTATACTTACGATGGCATTCATCTCCAACTTTTTGTGCATGGAAAATCTCCATCACATTTGCACGCACACAGCGCCTCCTGTGTATTACATAAGTTAAAAGCCGCTTCAATAGGTAAAGAGTAACATTTTCTCTTTCTCGTTACTCACTAGAGTACTAAGCTATACTCATTCCTGGACTACATCATGGGAGGATGTCAGATAAACTTCACTATCGGTATTGACTTCACGGGGAGCAACGGAAATCCGAGGAACCCCACCTCGCTCCACTACATCAACCCTTCCTGTCCCAACGAGTATACCATGGCTCTGTGGGCCGTGGGGGGAGTCTGCCAGGACTATGACACGTGAGACCTGCCCAACTGCATGACACACACTCACACACACATGGCAACAAAGGATCTTCAACTATGAGCCTCACATTTCGCCAGTGTAGCAAAAGTGAAGCACAGCACAGCAGACTCACGATCTCCACACTCATTATCGAATGCATGTTCTAAATGTAATACAGTGTGACCATAACGTTTGTGTATGCCCAGTGAGAACAAAGTCACACAACATGGCAATTTCGATGACTAACTATGTAAGTAGGCTCACAGTGATATGCTATGCAATACCCCTTTTTGACAGCAAGACACAGACTCACGCTACACTATTAGAAAGAAGGAAGAGCAAAGACAGTGTGACCAGACGTGGTGCTGCCCACTGATGACTTCAGTACTCTGCCACCGATGGCTTTTTAAGGTTTATTGTAGTGTTGTGTTGTATTCCAGGGACAAACTTTTCCCAGCGTTTGGTTTCGGAGCTAAAGTCGGAGGCAAGGTGTCTCACGAGTTCCCACTGAACGGGCAGTGGGACAATCCTTACTGTGCCGGGATCCAGGGAGTGGTTCAAGCCTACCACCAGTCACTGCAGACTGCAGAGCTGTACGGACCCACCAACGTGGCACCCATCATCAACCACGTGGCCCATTTCGCCGCGCAGGCTGCAGGCACCGATCAGCAGGGACCATCTACCACGCAGGTACTAGTATACATAGGCACTAGTGTGGATAGATTTTCTTCCTCGAATTACCACACAGGTGATATGTACACTGGGTTCCTCTCTTTATTGTGTAAAAAAGAAGGGAATGTAATACTACCAACACTGCAGCTATCAGTGCCAGCTCCTACGCACTTACACTACCAACGCTGACACAAGTCCCTTATTGTATATAATAGCTCAAGCACGACACGTATTAAGTTTCCAAGCTTCTGTCCAACTCCACATTAGTGTGAATTGACGTAAGGAGGCAGTATACTAAGCAACCTCTCTCTCTCCCC